ACACCTGGATTAGAGCTGGATTAGATTGCACGTTGCCTCAGCACTGGCAGCAGCCAACCCTCCACTTGCATCACTTGCTTCGGTAGAGCTGAGCTCCTGCAAATAATCTGCAAAGTAGATATTCATCATTTGAGCAAATGATACGACAAGTTGTTATATAAAAAAACTATTTAAAATTGTAATCATACATTCTCCCTATATCAGATTATTCTGTATTTTATGTTGGTCATCCTCTTATAATTGTTTTATTAACAGCTTCATCTGTGTTGGTTGTTTTATTTTCTTTAATCTTGCTTTCATCCTTGTATCGGTTGATGCTTTTTTTTTTTCCTGTAATTTCTTGTAATTTCTTGTAAAACTAAAAAGCTTAAAAGAGTTTTAGAGTGTTTATTGAAATATGGGGAATACCTTAAAAAGGTGAGGAGAGGCTCTAGTCCTAAGAATTCCTCTCCTAAATGATGACAGAGTAAGCACTCTAATGGTAAACCCTGTTTTATTCTTCCTTTACCCATTTCCCTACAAATATGCATACATAAATGAGAAATTTTTTTTAGTAGCTTTCATAGTAGCTTTAAGGCAAGTAAACAATTACACCACTTGATTACAGACACCATAATTGCATCCTTCTTCAAGGTTATATGCTGTGCAACTCTTTTTTTTCTAGTTTCTTAACATTTAGACTCAAGAAATACTTATACTAAGGTGAGTCCTACAATAGTAGTTTTTTCTTTTTCCTTAGAGTAACTTGAAAATATTGATAATGGATAACAAAAAATAAGTCATGGTAGAGGATGGTGTTTAAGAGAGTATTTGACAGGGACACTAATCTCTAGCTTTGAGCAAAGAGGACAGAGTGCAAATACAGCAAAATGTGGACTTTCCAGAGATGATCAGTGTCAGTATAACTTTGCTTCCATTCAGACTAAGAATGTTAACTTCAGAAAGAGGAGAGTCAGGTCAGTGGTGTGTGTATGTGTGTGTGTGTGTGTGTGTGTGTGTGTGTGTGTGTGTGTATGTATATACATGCATATATATATACATATTCAATCCTGCTATTAAAGGATCTAAAATGTCTGCAGGAATACATGTGACTTAAATAGCAGTTAGCATCTGCTTTCAAAAGGAAAGTAAGAACTAGACCTTTATAAATTTTTCTTGGCCTAGTTGATGACTAACTCATCAAAGTGGATATTTATACCTTTGGAGTTACGTAAATGGCCCTAGTTTAATCTCTGCCATTGCCTATGTAGTTAGAGAAGAATACAGTGCTGAATTATTAAATAAAGTTTACATTTCTTTGCTTTTTTTTTTTTCCTTTTGAAATTCAATGTTTGTGTGAACTTAGCAGTAAAAGAGAAAGGCAGCCTTGCTAGGAGAGCAATATGTGGGTCTACAGCACTTGCTATATTCTAGGATTTGCATTCTAGGATTATTAGTGATATAGTATTAAAAGTCACCTGTTAATGAAGACACAAAGATTTGGAATGAAAAAGTATCTCTGATGTTGATATATGGATYATAGAAATACCTGTGTATGATTATCAAATATTAATCTAATATTTCCAGGAATTAGATAATAYGATAGCTCTAAAATAGCATAAAAAGGAGAAAGAGAAGGTAGGAAAGAAGTGAGAGGGATAGAGCTTGTGAAAAATAGAGTAATGACACAGTGGACTAAAACTCAGTCAACTGTATATTGGCTCTCTCTAACCTAATCTGTGACAATCTGAGTTCTACCATGCAAACTTGGTTTGAAGATCAGGGATCAGTTAAACTAAATGCAACTTCCTAGTGCTTTTTAATAAGAATTTAAAAAAAAAACAGTAAGAAACCCAATGTTATATAAAAAATGTCATCTTTTCTCCAATGTCATCTTCAATGTTTTGAATTTCCATGTCTGGAAGCTTACAGTCTTTTCACAAAAATTTYTGGTCTCCAAGAATCACCCAGTTTTTCCATAAGAAATATTTCTTTTCACCAACCAATTTCAGTAAGCAGGGTGCTCAGAGGCCTTGCAGAATCTCTTTCTGTGGAGTTATTCAGGACTTGAGTGGAAAAAGTCCTGAGCAACCTGACTTAAACTRGTCATGTTGAAACAGGGGCTTGGCCCAGATGGCCTCCAGAGATCCCTTCTAGCCTAAGGTTTCCTRTGGTTCTCATCAAGTCTCTTGTCACACTGAGCTTGTGCCGCTCCGCAGCCTAGCAGGAATGGTGTTACTGACCAGAAGAAAATCTGTTTTGCTGTGGATATTCCTCTGCAGGGAATCAATTTGAAATGGCCTCTGTATTTGAACGAGAGTAGCCTGGCAGGAGTATTGTGATAACTCTGTGGCACTGGTGTCCTAGGTGAAATCCAAATACATATTCCATTTTATGTTTGCAAAACATTTGTTTCATTATCTGCTCTTTTGCTTYCTCTGTCATTTTTTTATTTCTTCATCAACTAGACATCACTTTTTAGCAGATTGTTTGGGCCAATAAATTCCATGTTGCATTGATTTTTGTTTGTGTGTTCAAATAATGTGAAATTGACTTTACTTCTACCAAGCTTTTAATGAGCCAAGCCTGAAAAGTCAATTAGAAATGAAGGATGTGTCTCTTCCCAAGGAAACCATTAGAAGCTGAAGGATACTCTTTCTAAATACTCATCTCATGTAATTTAGCCTTTCACTGAATTCCTTCACTGATTCCTTTCATTGAAGAGTTTTTTTATAATCTGGATGTTGCTCTTTGATGGTCAGGTATTTTGTTTAACTTCTTTGTCTGTAGATTAGGAAACGGTGCCATTTCATTCAATTCTTCCCTCATCCATTTCTGTTTTTCTCTTTTCTATCTTGTTTCCTATTGGTAACACTGATAAAATTCCATTAGAAAATCCTGGGAAAACAGCAAGCTGTATCTTAAAACATCTGTTTTTATATTTACTTTAACTATTTGGAATATTTTCTTATTTCTCCAAAGATGTAACATGTAAAAAAGCCAATTTTTCTTTGTGATATACAATATCCGTAAGGCTGCCATTTTTAGTAAGGCCACAATTATCATGTCCTGGAAAGTGCATMCAAGTTTCCTGCTAAGCTTTCATCACTAAATTTAGGGACAATTTCTAGTCAGTTTCCTCCATTATTAAATATTAATGATGTGTCTGGACCATCGGGACCACAGTTTCCTACTATATGTTGAGCTGATTAGGAGCTTTTTGGTGGTGGTTTGTTTTGTTTCGGCAAATCCATGTTATAAAATTCTAAGTCCACTAATTACATAACCTCAACTTTGAGGGAGTAGGTTTTTCGGGAAACCTCTGAGGTCCCTTCCAACCTTAAGCATTCTATGATTCTATGTTTTAGAGCAGCAGAGTTTTACTCTTAATAAAGTCTCGCGACGAAACGGGGAGAGGGAAATTTACAGAATGTACATATAACAAATCGTTAGGTACCTGATGTAGACTCTATAGAGGTCARTGGAAGGATTGCAGCTGAATTGAGTGTCTCTGGTTCATGTCTTCTCARGGGGATTTGTTGCTGTTGTGTTATTTCATAGAGGAATATCTTGCAGGAAAAAGCAGGATTTTTTCTCAAGGTTTTGAWACTGGGAAGTCCCATGTTTAATTATATTATATTCCAAATCCGCTTTTTCCTCCAGCTCAGTAGCAATCTGTGATAGTTTTTGAGGACTCTAATACTCCTTTTGTTCTTTTAGAAAAGGTTATTATCGTTATGACTATTTGCATTGTTCATTTGCTTGTTTACCCTGTGCTAAGGAAAATCACATACATACTGTTGGAGCTTTCACTTCTGTCATACATCACAAAGTAGTAATAAAGCTATTCTAAGCACATGAGTATACAATAGCTGTTTCAGTAATTTCAACATTCATCACAATACAGGAAGAAAGAGCCAAACTGATATCAAAAATGTAAATGTCTATCCATATAGTCACTCTAGCATCCAGGTAAGCCATACCACATTTAAGAACTGTCAGTAAGCTGTACTAAGAATTAAGGCAGGTAGCATTGAGCGTAGTTTCTAAGTTTCTAATAGTTTCTAAAAGACTTCAAAAGCATCCTTAAAGACAACTTAACCCCTTCTTGCCTTTTTTCCCCCAATATTTACATGTCCTTTTTCTCATATCCAGTACCCCTTCACACATTGTGCAGCATTAAAAAGTTCCCTTGAACACAATCTGTATATAGTTGTCCAAGTTAGTGATCAGCATAGTTTTCATGAGCTGTACTGGTTGCAATTTGCTGAGACTTCCAGACTTCCGTCAGAATTTGAGCTATTCACCTTCCAGTATCCATTTGTGATTCCTTCTCCTCAAAAATACAGCTTCTGCTGACCCTGGTGTAGCMTTCTGAGAGATTACTATTTACCTGTCACCAACACAAACAGAGAACATTTTCTCCCCTTCCCCTCTTTACTGTTTTCTGTTCATTGCCAGAGAGCCCCCTATGAGCTGACAGCTGCTCTGATGAAGAGCCTACAAAAAGGTCTCTCTGCCCCACATACCTATCCCTACAGAAGCAGCCTATCATGTTGAGAAATAAGATTGCCTTCCTTCCACAGCCATGACCTCCAGCCTTCATCAGCTGGAGGCAGGAGGACATCATTCATCAGGGCATCATTCATCAAGGCAGCAAATCTGTACAATTACTGCATTGTGGTTGGCATCAGATTTTCTTCCATACCAGACGTGCTTACCAACCTCATTAGCATCCCACACTTGGATAACCCCTAAAGGTGTGAGAGCTCCCTCCATGTTTTCCTTTCCATGTGACAAAAATACATGCATGACCAGAAGAGAGTCACAGCACAACTGTACCTCCCTGAAGGAAAACAAGTTAAAATACAAATAGTGCTATGACTACTCGAGAAAGAAGCAGGAGGTGAGAGGGTGATGCAAGAAAAGTATATATATTGACCTCCTTTGTTATTTTTCACCCATTTTTATTTCAAAAAAAATAAGTCCCAGTGGCTGTTTTGTGTTTTTTTCTATTACAGTCATCACTAATAAACAGCGACATCATCTTTGTGAAGCTGCACGCCCCTTGGGAGGTCCTGGGCAAATACGCAGAACTAATGAATGTAAGAATGCCATTCAGGTAGGTGTAGATGTATTTTGTCTTAACCTCCAAAGTCACATTATACTGTAAAGATAATGCAAAAAGTAAAAAATCACAAGAATGCACACAGAAAGTCTCTTCTTTAATATGCCACACATTTAGAAAATATAAGTGGAATACCATAGATACTGTATTCATTGCTGTTTCTTGTTAATGCCTGTAATTTCAATACAATATTGGTATGAAATTAAGGTGAGCTGTAGCAGTGCAGCTGTTTTCATGGGGTATTCTATTCTTAGGCCCTTTAACCCCTTCACTGCTGGAGCCCCCTGCATACTTGTGCGCTGCTGTTTTTTAAATGGACATTTCATTGAAATCAATGGGAGGTCGAGAAGATCCAGGTACGTAAGGCAGCACAGAAGGTGCATGTCTGGTGGACGTATCTGGTATGTTCAGCACCTGTAAATTATCTGCTTGTATAGTGTATAATTAGGGAAATACAAGTAATAATTAAGTATCCTATCCAACACAAGAACAGAATTCAGACCGTAAATGCTTTTTGATACAGAAATTGTATTAAATACCATTGATGACCAAATAAATTTCACATCATCTTTAAGGATATTTTTATCACTTATTTAATATTAGTTGCATGTTACACTATGATATTTGAATGCAAAATACTAGTCTTACTCTGCTGGTTATCAGAACTGTTAAAATAACAAGACTTCCATTTGAACAGACCAAACCACTGAACTGAGGAATCTTGATTCTTCTTTCAATTAGCAGGGCTTATTGATGAATAACTCCATTGATTTTAATGGAATTACTCCTGAGCGAGGAAAGGATCAGATCCAGAATACGCAACTACTGAGTTGGTGTCCTTTTCTAGGATTTCTGCAGCTCTTTTCTTCTCACTTAAAGATGAAAAATGCGTCTTCTGTGAAACAAGCTGTGGTCTTATAGAACTTGATAGGAAAATTGGATATGAATTAAGGACAAAATTGCAGGCTTGTGCTGTATGTATTTTGTGGGTTTTTTTTTTTTTCTTATTTTTTGCAGCAAAGCTTCAACTGTTCTCTCTTGTGCTTTTAATGCTAAAGAGAAAAATTTTAAAGGTATCACAAGTCATTGAAAGGTATTTATATTCTTTTAAGAAACATACTCTAACATGCACAAATGATTTGCTGGACCCAAAATACACCCCATTTAAYTTCTTGGGCATCTTATGTGATGAATCTGTCCCAGTGGAAGGATAAGGTGTCCTGATTAAAACATGCAGCAAGAGAAATTGAGATTTTAGTCTCTATGAAAAGCTTGTTCTTTCCTCATCTGCTGTCCCCTTTTGATATCCATTTTTCATTAGATAGTAAGGTAGACATCATTCAGATTATATAGAAAGCCTTAAAAATACTAAGGCTTTCCTGATCTGCTTCATGACCAGAGCTTCGTTCTTTTCACATCTGCAGAGAAATGTTATTACTGTGTAGATTAGAGGAAACCATAGCAATTTATGGATGCCTGCTGAGGAGGTTCTTCCTTGAATTTTGCTTTAAGAGTAACAGTATAGCCTACCATTTAAAAATTAAGACTAACCTTTTAAAAAATGTTCGCTGTTTTAAGCTGCCTGTTTTCAAGTGCCTTTGTTTCAAGTGTCCTTGCTTTGAGGGCAGCTGATTGCTTACAACTCTCAATACTTTCAGTTGGAGTTTTCTGGGGTCCAAATAGCGGTGAAAAAAACCATGCTGCTTCAAAGCAGTGTTCCCTAAACAGTGAATACCAGTGAATATTTGAAGCAGGATGAAGAAGAGGGCAGCATCTTCAGAAACACTTAGCTTTGACCCTCCTCTGCTCCTGTTAAATGGAGCGAGGGCAAGAACTATTTTGTGGAGGAGTTTGCCAAAGCAGACTTTGAGTAGAATGGAATTATTTGGAAAATTTTATTTCATCAGCACAATATGGACACCAAGAAATGTCAAAATATATATTATTTAAATATTATGTTAAAAAATAAGTTGAAAATTAACCTAGAAAAGTAACCTGGTGTTTTTTTCTATAGTTTAAAGCATTGTTGCTGTTTTGCTTTAGAAAGTTCTCTATAACGACTGCATCAGATGCAATGACAGCATTCCTGAAGCACATTAAACATTCACAAATATTCAGAAAGAGATCTCTGATGTGAGCCCTTCATTCTGCAGAAGTGGCATAGATCAGTATTCAGAATACACTTTGAGTTAACAACAGCCTGCAGTGGTTGACAYAGTCAGACCATAGAGCGGGGAGCTGTAGTTTTGTCAGGCACTCAGATCTTGCAGTAGAGGCCCAAACCCACACAGAACTGCCTTTAGATTTCCTTAACTCTCTCCACAATCTGATAGGGTGACAGAGCCCTGGCACAGGCTGCCCAGGGAGGCTGTGGAGTCTCCTTCTCTGGAGGTCTTCCAAACCCTCCTGGATGCCGCCCTGTGCCACATGCTCTAGGTGTGCCTGCTTGARCAGKAAGGTTGGACTAGATGATCTCTAGAGGTCCCTTCCAACCTTGAATATTCTGTGATTCTGTGATTCTGTGATCCCCCTGCAGAAGGTGATGGGCTGATGGGCCAGGCTCTGGAAATTGTGGGGGCAGAGGGGACAAGAGGTGGACACCCTGCTCGGCACCTACATGGGATGGCTGGGGGGATGTTCACTCCACCCTGGGTGATGTGGACCCTGTGGGGACCCTTGGGGAGTAGGCAACAGCATGTGGTTGGCATGTCTCTGCTCCCCCACACTTACAGGCTCGCTGGTTCTGCTCGTGCACTCCCTCCCACACAGCTTAGCACACTCATATGGCACCAGGTGCTCAGCACATTCTCATTTGCTTGTACAGTTCATGTTTTCATCAAGGAACATTAACCAAGAGAAAATACGGGTCCCAGGTTGTGTTGTATGTGTCCTGGAACACTGCAGCACCGGCTACCACCTTCCCCGTGTGCTTTATCAAGAGCAGCTTCCATAATTCACTAGTGGATGTGAAATACATAGAGTGCATTTTTTTCTATAACTGCATCTGGTCCTATAAAATTCCTGCAACTGCTTAGGAATTTGAAATAGAAATGTCCCTATCCTCCACATATGCCAAGTAGCAGAAAAAGAGGAAAAGCGGGAAAGCCATGCTGCAATTCAAGCTCCCCCAGAACTTGTGTGGCTTCCTGTGACAGTCTGTTAATCTCTCTTTTAGTCTCTTCCTCCACCTCTTACAGGCTTCTGTCTTCAATCTCCTTTCCTTCCTTGCTAGTTCATACTGTAACTGACGATGGGTTTTCTTCTCGACTGGCTTCATTTTTGCTGTTCTTCCAGGAGAAAAATCTATTACCTGCACCGCCGGTACAAGTTCATGAATAGGTGAGTACAATTCATATTCCGCTGCAGTTTGTAGTGATTTGGACCTGACAGACAAAATATTGGTTCAGCTCAAGCTGGCMAGAAAAGTATTAACACAAATGCTAGTTTATAAGCTGTGTTTGTGGAAGAGGTGGAGAGAGTGATGGCACGCTAGGATGTTTGCAAGTGCAGCAGCTCCATTTTTCAAGGCATCTGCCATGTGAAAGAAGTTTTTTTAAAAAAAAAACAAGAAGAAAGACATTTTTCAAATACCTGAATACCTGGAGCCTTTTAAAGATGAGTAACTGTATTCACTTACTSTCAGTGTAGTGCAAACATTGCACATCTCTCCTTTAATGTAGCTCATTAGGGAGGTATTCAGGGTTAAAGTACCACAGTTAGAGCTTCTTTTCTTCTTCTTTTTTTTTCTTTTTCAGTTCCATGCACATTGCTTACTTGTAGTACTGATGGCATTATTTATTTATGGCTTCCTCTGTGGGGATGCTTAGTACTGTGTTGGTGGAGTTCAAGCAATGAACCAAATTCATTTGTGGTATGATGCCATTTAAATCAACTGGAGAGATGAATATTCTTCAAGAATCTTTGAAGTGCTTTCACTCAATTATTAGATAACTTAAGGCTGTCTTTGATGACAGCTTTTTATGTAACAATGTAAGGAAAAACTTTCAGTGTCCACAGTTGGCTTTTTTTTGGAGAGGGATATTTTGACAATTTAAATGAAAGGTCTCCAAAAACTTTTAAAAATGTACAACCTTGGCAAAGACCAGATCATATATTGGCATGTGTTGTTGATGCAGTTTTCAATAAGTTCTAGCTATGGTTTACTACATTTCTCCTGGATCAAGGGTTAAAGCTCCCATGAGTGCGTGAGAGAAGAATTAATCCTGAGAAAGCTCCACTTTGGATTAAATTATTACAGTGTTATCTGCAGTATTACACTGCAGATAATGTCAACAGTTGGACATCCAAGGAAAAATAAATTATATATTTAACTCTACAGCACTAGGATATTAAAATACATCAGCATACATTATAAGCACACACAGCTCTGAAGTCTGTTACGTTGTCCGCTAAATTTTGTAGCACATGTTAAATTTGGAGATTGTCTTGAATTTAATTAAGGCATAGCTATTTTAACTACAGCTATAGATTAAATGGAAAAAGCAAGAGAAGATTCTAATATTTGTATGTAGTATATAAAACTTGTTTTTATATTATTTTTATAATGAGTCAGGTTGCAATTTGAAGTCAATATGGGAAGAGATACTATTTTCTTGTGGTATTTTGGTTTCTGAGTGATGACAGTATTTGTCTATATCCAATTTTCATATTCACCTCTATAAACAGCTGCTTGAGGCAAAAAAAATAAAGCAAATATGTGTATGCGGGGGAAAACATGTTCAGCTTTGTTTTCATTTATGTAAAAATCAAGTATATAGCATCAGTAAAGGCTCTGCTTCCTCTATTCCTAGTTCAGTGAAGATTTGTAATAACTGCAGTTGGACTGTTTTTAAGATAATCTAAAAAACTATATTGACATTTGGGGAAAAAATCATTTTATAAAAGCCTTTTTACAGGACAGAGACCAGAGCAGGTCATTTGTAATATGTCAGCTTGCCTTGAATTTTACCTCAGAAAAAAAATCCAGTGATTCCAGAAGTAACAAAATCTGACCAAATATATTCTTAAAAAAACAAGGGTGTTAGATACTAACGCAGTACCTACAACTACATTTAAAATGTAGTGAAAATGAAATAAGGACCATATCGAGCCCTACTTATATAAAGCTCTGTATCAGCTTAGCCAGAGGCAAAAATCAGTCGCAATTCAAAGCAAATCCTTTTATTTTCCCAAATCCCTCTTTCAGGAAAATTATTGTACTCCCACCCAACTTTCTACTGAAGAGACTGTTTTTGCTTGGAATGACTTGACAAGCCCTTGAGAAGCCCAAACAAAGCTTGTTTTGGGGAGGAGGATGCTGAGGAAAGACTASACACAGAGACCAGGCCAGGACTGAATCAGAAGGTTCTTTATCTTGGAGGTGTTAAGGGAATTAAGATGCTTTCTTGAGAAATAAGGCTTCAAGTCTTTGCAAAGAAGGGATTTGAGACAGAGATGCTTGTCATTTCTTCCACTCCCTTCTTTCACTGCAGCTATAAGAGACTGCTATGAGAGTCTCACTGTGGAGACTGCGTAGGTCCATGCTTTGTGTGGGTTTTGTACATCTCACTCTGCTTTCCAGGCACTGCTCTCCATGTCGGCTGAGGAAATGAGCATGTGTCAGGGAGCCGCAAGAGCAGATGCTGCTCCATAAGGGAAACCAGGAGCCAGGACCAGGTCCTGCAGGCGCCAAGCAGGGTGAGCAGGGCAGGTGACAAGACTCAACCAAGAGTCCAGGTTGTTCACGTGAACTACAAGTCTGTAGTGAGGAGTAAGGTTGAAGGCCAGTCCTGAAAGTCACAGGATCAGCAAGTCATGGGATCACAGTGGGTCAGAGTTAGGATCAGGATTAGAGTCCGGGAGGCACAACACCATGTAGCAGAGACCCAGGGTGAGAGCCTGAGCTGAAATACAGTTCCTGAGCCCTAACAGCCTGTGCTTAAACTCTGTGCACTTGGCTGGGATTTAAGTCAGGCTGGGATTTGAGCCTGGAGCACATCTGTAGCTAGCATCCTGCTACACCTTCACAGCCCTGGAGCTCAGGCTGTGGCCAACAGTCTGCCCTTTGCTGTGGAGAGCCCCAGCACATAGAGACCAACAAAGCAGTGATGAGATTGCATGTTCTTGTCATCACTACCACATGCCAGTTCTGCACAGTGCAAAGTTGTCTCATCAGCAAACAACCTCTTGAATTGGCTGAAAAAGCTACTTTAATGCAAGGAACTAAGTTCTTCCTGGAGGAAAAATGTTTTTACTGTACAGTTTTTCAGTGCCCATTAATTTTCCATGTGGCGTGTAGTGAGAGAAGCAAGACTTTTATGTGCCCTGCTCATATGGCATTGATTAGCCTTCAGGAAGCAGTAAAACACAGCAGACTTTGAATGCTTTGTGTCTGTATTTGTTAGAATCAACCTTCCAGCTTTTTTTAGAGAAATATGCTCACACAGAGTAAAATTTCTGTAGTGCTCTCTGACAGAAGTTTTGGAGCAGCCTAGAGGCATCTTAAGAGTTTGATCTTTTTCCTTTCACAAGGAAATTATATCCATTATTTCSTAGAGGTGGTTTTACTGTATTGCAGGTTCTAGCCCTTGCAACCTCTGCAGACCTATGTGCCAGCAGGGAAAGGAAAGGCTCACCAAGAGGACCAAGTAATCCGAATCCTGGGAATGATGAGCCAGGCAAATTCTGGATATGCTCCATGTGCAGTCAGCATGAATAAAACATTGTTCTTAAGTGGGGGAAAGCACTCTGCATGCGTGTGTACAYGGTGATAAACCAGCAGCAGAGCTATCTCAGATGTGCACATTGACTTGCCAGATGAATAGGAAAGGGCTGCAAAGCAGCCAATTTTGTTTGTAGATTAGAGAATCCCAGTGATTTTAATCAACAAATGAATTTGGAGCAGGGTACTTAGTAAACACTTCTGCCTGCTCCCTTTTCCCTTGCCCTAACCCAGAGTACTAAGCAGAATAAATACAGCCTGGTGGTCTTTGCAGAGGAAAACTTGGAGGCCAAGAAGAGAGAATCCCTCTGGAGAGAAATGATTTTTTTCCCTACATCAGTTCTATCAGTTCTACCATACAGTCCTGCCCTCGTGTTATTCACAGAAAATAAACACAGAAATGGTACCAAAATGAGTAGGGCTAATTTGGATAAAATTTTGGAATAAATGCCAGTGTTTAACAATTAGCATTAGTTTGCATATCTACTAAAAAAATACCTGAGAGAAGAAGATTGAATACTCTGGGATAATTGTATATGTACTTTAAATAAAATTATGCAATAATTTCATGTCAGATTCCCACTGACTGCTGCTTGAACATGGATATCTCTTCCAAAACGTGATTGTATAGACATTGCAAAATTTACAAGAGTCAGAGTTATTGGGTTGGCTTTTGTTTAAATAAAATAAATAACGATATTCCAAGTCCTTGGACTTTGCTCTGAACTGGACTTAAACTTCAAAGAATATTGGTTCTTGCCTTTTAGCTCCAGCACTAGAAAGTGTCACCCAGGTATTAAGCTGTAATCATTGTCCATAATTTTTAGCCTATGATTTTGCAGGCAGAGGTTAATGAAGAGGACTTGAAGGTGTTAGGTACTTTTGAGAGAGTAAACTCATTGTTTTAAAAAGCTCTAGAAAGCTCATTGTTCTGTTTTCTGTTTTTTCATTAGAGCATTTTAAGTTGGATCTGTTTCAGATTCTGAATTCAGATTCATTTTCAGATGAAAGAGCAATTGAGATTGCTCTTTTAGAAAGCAAAACCTTAGTATGCTTTCACCTTCTAAACATACAAATCAGTGCACCTGTTATCTGTTAAACTATTTACTCAGTATTTGGGTTTTCTGGAGCTATTTCATGAAGTATTGCAAGGCAGTAAAATTGAAAGAAATGAACAAAGTAGCTTAGTTTTATAGCATCAGTTGAGGGGTAAGAATGCATGCGGAGAGCAGTACAGGGACACAGCTTGCTGCAGTTCAGCTGCCAAATCTCTGTGTCATAGTCTGTGCTATTCTAATGTTTATACATCCAAAGGGTAATGAACCCATTAAGGATGAAATTTAAATTACAATAACTGAAAAGCCAGGAAGTTAAAGTTTAGATAGTTGCCAAGAGTTTACTGAGTTTGAGTAAGATTTATAGTATCATGTACCACAAGCATTGCTTTTCTATTAAGATTCTTCTTAATAGAACAAAATTAACAAATAACAAAATAAGATTCTTCTCCATAAAAAGCTGGTTATTAATAATTGTGTTTGGTATATATAATTTGGTCTGACTCAAAAATGGGAAAGGCTTACCTCTTTTTTGTAGCTGCAAACATTAAGTGGCCTAAGTTGCATATGGCTTTTTTTGTAATTGCTCTGTAATGAAATTAAAAGTATAGACATTTTTTATGCTCTTTCTTGACTGATCACTTTTCATGTATTGCAGGATCGAGAAACAAATAAGCAGGTTTCGAGGATGGTTACCTAGAAAGCCAATGAAATTGGACAAGGAGACACTGCCAGACCTGGAGGAGAATGACTGCTACACTGCCCCATTTAGCCAACAAAGGATCCATCAGTGAGTATTTTATTACATCCTAATTCCAAAATGAAAACTTTTCCTACTGGGTTCGCCCTGGAAAAACATCCAATTGTTAATTGAACATTCAGAGATTAGTGCCCTCAAGTTAGTTCTTTGCCACGTAGAGGGAGAGGCAGAAAGTCCTGAGAAAGAAGTCTGTCTACATATTGATGATTTTTTTCCATTCTTAGGTTCTTCCTTTCCATTCACATGGAAAGAGCAGGCAGGGAGAAAGACTAGCTTTCAGAAAACCTGAACATTTATGTAAAGAGACACAGATCCTCTGAGTTCTCCCCAAAACAAGCAAGGAAACTGGAAGAATCACATCTGTAAGATGAGCCTGTATCTTTTGCAGTATGGTTTAAAGTCTTATGCCAAGATATCATAGCATAATATATGGGGTATATGTAGAAGAAGATCAAAATTCTTATTATTTTCCAGTAAGAGAAAATCTCTTTTCAGATGACAGTATCTCTGTCTGGCTGAGACAAGCATTTTTCTAGAATTTTGTGGAATTAAAAATGATAATTTTTCGAAGTAGACCTCTGAGTAATAGTTCTTCTCTGCAGCCACAGCTTGGGAATAAGCTTGGGCTTATTTATGCCAATGTACTTCTTCTGAAATTTATCGTTTACAGGAATGTACAATATATAAGAGATATGACAGTAATTAGTTATTTTTCTACAACTTCTTAGTTATTGTATGTAGTAAGCTGCTAGTCAGCTGGGAATATTAGCAGTAGTAATGATCTGTTATTTCTTAAATAACGGCATACTAGGTAGGAAAATGCTTTTAATTGCTACTTAGAGGTTTAAAGCTTTACATCAGGAGCTATTTCTTCAAGAGTTCAAAAACTCTCTGGTTAAATATTAATCCAAGGTATAACTGAATAATACACTTTAAATATTTATTTCTAACATGAAAATTAAATAAATTTTTTACATGATTAAGAGGAGTAGGACAGTATTGGGATTAATGAAATAAAAATGGCCCTGTACTCCAGCAGACAGCAGAGTTATTTTCATTTATAGTAAGTCCTGGTGCAATAGCTGAGGATGTAGTTCCATATCTTTGTCAGACTTTTGGGATGTTTGTCTCTCAGAGTGGAGTTCCACTTTATATTATCTCTGCTGCTCAGATTGGCCCTAATAAATCCCATCCACCCTGGGATGATCTCTGTCTGCCAGAGCTGCTTAGTCCCTAGATTATGGATGGGACCAAGGAGCAGCTGCTAGTGAGACAAGGTCCTGGGCTTCATGAACACTTAGTTGGAACCAGCATGGCTATTAGAGTGCTGACATATATTCACATGTAATAATTATACATAATTATATATAACTGGGGGTAGAGGGGCACTGAAGGGTGGTTTTAGCATTTTCAAGGCTCTTTCTAGTTTCCTCTTGCAATTTTGAGTCTGTCGTATGTCAGATCTGAGAGAGTTGAAGCCTCAAAGATATTCTCCAAACATATTCTTCCAAAGAGAAAAGTGATCCTGTTTTAGGCATATGATAGGAAAAAAAATCAATAACCATTAAAAAACAGTTTCTTTTAGATAAGCATAGRAGTCAGCTGCTGCCTTAAAAGTCCTGCAAAATGAAAATAAAACAAAATATTATTAATATGCTCATTTTCAAATATAAGCTACAGGGATGTGGGATGATGTTCACCCTTGAATTCTGGAGGTTCGTCTTGTTTCTGCAGCTTCTACAGCTGATGATTACGTGTCCCTAACATTAAATCAGGATGACACTTGCTGTTGCCTCAGCTGATGAGTTAGTGCCAGTGTTTTACCTGGGAGTGCAGGGGATCGGGCCTTTTTCCTGTGCTAAAGGATACATTTCTCTTTTATTAGTTCAGACAACATCTGTGCTTTTGGTCTGTATTGTCTCAACAGTAGGCATTTGCTTGGTACATATTTTTTAGTACTACATGCATCAGATATTGAATGTTTCAGTGAACATTCAGACAGGGAATGTTGCAGTGAACATTCAGACAGTGAATGTTGCAGATMCCGTGGAGCAAAGCTGCACATCAGAAGATACACATGGCCTTGGTATACAGCTTTGCAATCAGATTATGAATGTTCAGCTTTCCGCTTGCATATCGGATCATAAAGCAGAAAACAACCTTTTGTGAATTTCAGTTTTCCAAAATATATTTAAAAGCTCAGTTTCTTCAAATGGATGTTGGACCACAAATTCAAGAGCTAATTTTACCCCTAAAGTGTCTGTGTGAGGTCTGYAATCTGCAAAATTACCAAAGGGAATGGATGAAAAGGAATTTATTGGAAGTTTGTTCTTCACTAAATTCACATTAATTTGAGGGCATTCCTTAGATGATAGTTGGCTTTACTGTCTTTGTTGTACTTTGTTATCCATGACAAGATAGTTTGAGATCTCCAACTCAGAGCATAATTAAGAAAGCTAAATATAATTTCAAAGCAATTAACCTTCACTGGCTCTTCATGTCGCTTACAGCATGAATATAAGACAATATTTCCACATTATGACATTTTTTAAAGGGGCTTTAATTAAGGATCAACTCTGAAACCTTTTCTGACAGAAGTGTTCTCATTATCTTCACTGGGACTTTCTTTTTGAGCAGGGTCAGTTCAGATAAATGTAGGTTATAGGACCAGGCAAATGAGTCTTTCAAGGTACAAATCATTTATATATGCATTMTTTTCACATGTAATAAAATAACAATGTATTAACCCTTGCTTATTTTTCATCTTATGAGCAAAGTGACAAAGAAGTGTTCAAAACCTTCACTTTGAACTATCTCCTAACTAAAGCCTGAATGCCTACGGGTCTCAAAACAAGCTGTAGCCTCCTTATGCACACAAAAGGCCTGGTGTATGCTGAACTTCTAGCAAGGGCAGCAGGAATAGAGCAGCTGAAGAAATMCTCCCATCTGAAAGGGTTAAAAGCCTTCCAGAAAGCCTTGAGCAGGTCGCAGCTCAGTAATCTCTGAAAAATATTTATCTATACCTAGTTTGGAAATGGCTGCAGACAATGAATCAGCCTTGGTGGCTGTTCTCTGAATACGGATTTACCACTGCCATTCAGGAAGGAACTATCCTGGAGGCCTGACTGGCACAAAACCYTTGGAGGATACCTTACAGGAAAAAAAGGTCCAGAAAGCCCAGGACAGGTCTGAAGAAAGGTAGTACAAAGAGAAAGATCAGCTATGAACTGCCCAAATCTCATCTGATAAGGGCAACTCCTGTGAATTCAGAGAAAAATCAGAAACTCCCCCCTTTAGCATAATTTGTGTCAGTTTCTAAATGGGAAATAATAACATATAGCTGACACTACTTAAGATATTTTCAGTGCCTTTCAGTGTCTCCCACTCATGTGCCCCTGATTCTACTCACTGTGCCAAAGCTCAGTGTGTCAATCCTCACTTGTCTTGCTACTGCTCTTTATGGGACTGCTCTATACCAAAATTCACATCAAGTATCTGGTATAACCAAAAACAAACAAAAAAGATTGCTTTTCATGCTCAAAATAGCCAGGGTTTATTTTTAACCTTTACGATATACAATTCCATTCCAAAACTATGAGAAAGTTAAGGATAGTCCAGGATATCTGCAGGACTTCTTTATTTTTGCACTCCTCTCTCTTCTTCGATGAACTCTAGCATCAATCCTGCACCTATATTTCTGTAAGAAACGTTGGAAAATGCTGAAAAATATCTGCCTTACCCTGAGGAGTTCTCCCTCTTCTTTCCACCTCCTACCCTCAGATGCTTGCCCAACTCATCATCTGCCCAATGCTGCTGGCTGAAGGATGGGCATGGCAGAAGCTCTCACTTGGGTAGATCTCACACTTGCTTATATTTTAGCATGTAGGTAGGATTTTTCATAGCAGTTGGCATACTAGGATATTCACATCTGCTTCATAGAGGAACCTGCACATTCCTTCTAAGCCAAGAAAGATCAGCTACTGTAACAACAAAGTTGCTGCAGCTACAAATAAATGAAAAAGACTAAAACGCTCTTTTAAACAAAAAGCTCTTATTTCATTGTAAAAGTGCAGTGTTTGATTTCAGCCCATTTGTCAGTCGTGTCTCAAAAAAAGAGACATGTTTTCAAAAATCTTAGGATACGTACAGACTCCTATATCATCAGCAACTCCATCTGCTTAAAGTGCCTCAATGACTTCCACAGTCTAACCTGAAATCCCTTCTCACCTCATGCAAGCATAAGGATTTTTAGGAGTATTTAGGTGACAAGTATACCCAGTATTTCTAATCTAAAATACTTACGTTGTTTGCATTTTTCAGTGATCATGCTGATATGCTAAAATATAATGTTTCCTTGAGTATGTATGTTACAGATGGCTAGGAAGTCTAATGTATAATATGCCAACCAATCTAATCAATACAATATATTTTGTAGATAATGTTTTGTTGAATTTCCTTGATTCATTACAGTTCTGCCTAAACTATTGAACCTGTGTTCATATATAATTCCATGAGTAGCTCCTGAAAGCTCTATTTCCGCTTTATTTTATCTTCCAGGAACACGTATTTGAATATATAATATTTTCAGTTTCTAATACAGTATTTTGAACTTCAGTAACTATGCCTAACAGAATCATTTTTATACAGAATTGATGTTTCTATCTGACTCTTAGTGGTAAAGCATAATAAATATTATAATTAGCATTATAACAATAATAAAGAAGTCTTAAATGGAAATCAAATGTGAATTTCTACAGCTACACTTACAAATCCTTTACTTTTGCAAATTCTCCTGCGAGAATTTTGTAGTTTTTGACAAATTTTCTAAAGTGATGTTTGTGATAATGAATGATCAAGTATCTTGGACCTTTCTGCAAAACTCTCCACATCATTCTTTGCTAGGGAATAAATAGGGAATAAATGATACTGAGATCATCTCTGGTGAACCATCTTACATAATCTGGTCTCCTTTCATATTCCTTACATTTGTTCATATACTGTGAATTCTTAGCATGCTATACAAATTAACGGAACTCAGCATTACTTTACTTGTGTTACACATTCCTGACATAATTTTATTTGTATTTTATATAGCTTCATCATACATAATAAAGACACTTTCTTCAACAATGCTACAAGAAGTAGAATTGTACACCATATTTTACAAAGAGTGAAATACGAAGAAGGGAAAAACAAAATTGGTAAGTGCTGAGCTAAGTGCCTGCATACATGGGTGCTAAATTCCATTTAGTTTTCCATAGCCTGTAGTTGTTCAGTCCTAGTTCAGTGGCTTTCCAGATAAAAAGTTCCCATATCTCCACAGTTATTCATTACCGTTCACTTTGTTCTCGACAGAGAGGAGCAAGGCCTCCATAAGGTGCTTGATCCCTTTTTGACACTAAGTAGTGATATTTTTGGTTCAGAGTTCAGCTGTATTAGCTGGCCTTCTGCTCTTACAGTGTTTCTTGTACCTGTATCTGTCTGTTAGTCCTGCAGCTTTCATAAGAGATAAACTGAACATATCTTACAAAATTATTGCCATATGAAAATGAAATTTCAATTGCCTAACTATCCTGAAATTCAAAAGCGTAGAGATGTTCCCTCAAGTTCTCAGCTCTCAAGAAATAGAGCCCTTCATCTAAATAACTTCTTCCAATGAGCTTTTAATATAAAATAAGCCTTAACATAGCACTAGACCAAAATATATGGAGCTGAATTTCAATCATAGTGTGATTTCATTAGAGCTATCCTGAAGATGGATTTAGCAAATGAATCTTTAAACCTCAGGCACAATAAATCACAGACTGTGATTAATTTTGAAAGTTCTCTTTGCTTGAGTTATCCTCTAGATCCTCAAAACTGAAAAATATGTCAATGGAATTCAAATTACATTTATTCAATCTACCATCATTTTTTTTGGCTTTATTTATGTAGCAGTTATTCTAGTCCTAACGATAAGTAATTGGATACTTTTTTGTTTTTTAGGTCTGAATCGATTGCTCAGTAATGGCTCCTATGAAGCTGCCTTTCCTCTTCATGAGGTATTTTTCCTAGTTTTTGTTCCCTTTAGAAATTACACTTCCCCCCAAATCATTTATTTTCAATCTTAATAATACTATTACTCTCTTTTGCATTCCTCACTTGTTTCTGATATCCCTTCCATTTAGTAATACTGAAGACCCCAGTGTTTGTGACCATTTTCTTACATTTCTGAGTTAATGAAGCATCTTCAGAATTAGGATAGAAAAAATAGAACATTAAATGTATTTAATCCAAATAAAAGCATTGTGATTGAATTAAAAAGAAAATTAATTTCAGTAGTCTCAAAATGTTTCAACATTGACCTTTTCTACCTCTTTAAAAATAAATTTGCTAAAAAATTAAGGGAAAATAGGACTAAACATAGATTGCGCTAAAATGTTCTAAAATATAAAAATAGCACATTTGAAAATGTTTTTTTTTTTTTTTCTGAGGTAAAAAAAAGACAATAAATAAAGAGATTTGCCTTGGGACTGTTCTTTGGACAGTTTTTGATTTTGATGGGTAAATGGGTTTTGATGTTTTCAGAAGGCAAGATATTGTGCTGTGGATTTCTCCATCAGTTTCTCCAATTCATAGCCTTTGTATTGAATACTTGTTATCAAATACATAGTCTTAAATTTCAATTAAGTAGTCTTAAATTTCAGTCAAGGAAATCATCCTCTTAATGTCATATTTATTGTTCAGTGTCCAAGTGAATTTTGCATAAGTTGTATTAGCCCTACACCTAGTGAGAGATTTGCTAGCTCTTCTTGTTTTTCTACTGTTTTTCATTAATGTCCAGCTCTGTATTTTAGGGAAGCTACAGAAGTAAGAATTCCATAAGAACCCATGGGGCAGAAAATCACAGACACTTGCTTTATGAGTGCTGGGCTTCCTGGGAAGTATGGTATAAATACCAACCTCTGGATCTGGTGAGGTAAGATATAGCCACTTTTAAAATGTAACATTATGTGTGCTTAGGGCAGAGCTTCTTCTGCCATTTTATCTTTCTTCTGACAAAACCATGAAGAGCTCAGGTAATTCCTGTAGTCCTTACAAACTATGAGACGGGAGAAACCCGTTATTTTAATTCCTGTCTCTATATTCAAAGCAATGTCTGTGAAGGAGCTTGCTGGAGGAGCTGAAGAGAAAGTGAAAGAAGTTTCCTTGAGTTTACTGAAAGCAAAACTTCTAATGGAAGTGCTGTAGAATAGTTCAGAGTGAAGAGACTGAAGAAAGAAACCTTTGGAGGCTGAGGAAACATGGCTGAGGAAGCACGATCCTCTGGGGAGTGCTTTCTCCTCCTCAGGGTATGGCTCTGTTTCAAAAAGAATAGGCTTTCATCAGCCAGATCCCATTGTTTTATTTTTGCATTGTTTTGTTTTGTTTTCTTCCAAAAAGCAAAAAAGCAACTATAAAAGTAGCCCCTGATGAAGCTTAATGATGCTTACTGACACCGAGCCTGCTTCTGGGTGGAACTTTGATGTCTCTTCTCTGCTGTATCCCCCAAACTCAGGATTGCCACATCACCACAATCTGCTTGTTTTTCAACTTGGAAACAGTTTGAAAGGAAGAAACACAGAGCTAAGACTTGACTACTTGACTACTTAAGGACTATTGCCCGTTTAAATCAGGATTTCCAAATGGGCTCACACTCTAGTAGAGGATTATGTATTTTTTTGTGTTTATCTACAGGGTCAGATCCCTTTGGCAAAAGTCTTAGTGGCCTTTTTCTGCTTGAAGAGAAGGATGTGAAGCTGCAAGAACCTATAAATAAAGTCTTAAAATGTACTGGAATCATTAAAGAGATTGATATGCTGGCCATTTGGAAGGGTCATATAGTTCATGCAATTGGTCCAGTCCATGAATTTCCTCTTTTATAAGTCCTGTAACTGATAGAAATCTTTGCTTTTATTGATTTTCAAAACTGTTTCTAAATAGAAAGTTTTGCAGAGAATGCCCTGGAGACAGAAAGTGTTAATGTTTAAAGCTACATAAAACCCATCCATTTCATGAAGCATAAGATGTTCCAATTTATGGAAAAAAATAACAGAGAAATATAATAAGAGAGTTTTACTGAGTAATATATTTTTAAAATGCTTTAGAAAACAAAGTAATGTATTTTTTCCTCATAAATGAATTGTGAGAACTTTTCATTTCTTTCTGAACACATTGGCCTAGACTAAAATGTGGAAGTTTTGTCAAATTATGCTACAGAAATTGATGATTTAATGAGGAGAGAGCAGTTATCCTGAAATTGTTTATTTTTAATTTCCCTGGTAAACAATAAGGTAGTAATGTCGGAATATAAAAGATTTTTATTCGTAGTGTTATTAAATCATTTTGGCATTGCTTTTTTGTGACTGAAGGTTAAGGCTGTTGCACTTCATCTGTATGTCTTGCTGAGTCACTGAGTCAATATCTGAATTTTTGTTTAATAGTCATCTGTGAATGTGGGTTGTTAGGCATCCAAAAGATCTTTTAGATGCGTGCATAAATGGTAACAGAATGTACAGAGTTAAAAAAGTGATTGTATTGGGCTTTGACAGAGTCTGTACTTGAGCAGTTTGAGTGTGGTATTTAAGGTCTTTAGGATATTTAAGGATCCTGGTCTTTAAGCTTCTCATCAGACAGTGACCTGCAAAGATTCTTCCACAGCTATTTTAAAAGAGCAGATAAGCAGTCAAAATAGCAGCCACCCTAACTGCAGTCACAGGTGGTTTGGAGTAGGAGTCCATCGGAAAGGGAAAGGAACGGGGAGCCCTGTACAACTCCCTGCACGAGTGGTGTGAGCCACAGTGCTGGTTGGATTTGAAGGGCTTCAAAGCTGCAGCCCCAGCCAYGCATGGCATTGCCTGGGACTCAACCATTGACTGCAATAAAGTCATCAAAGGAGCGAGGCTGGGAGAGGAGGGGAAAGGCTTTTTTCTTCTCACTTTACAGATGGTAAATCCCTTGAATTTCCTTAGCTCCTGTCAAGTCTTTCTTGTTTACTGCCATTGTCAGGAGCTCACATGTCTAGTGAGCTGGATTTTTCTCCTTGAAGAGCTGACAACACCAGCAAGACTTTGTTGGTTTCACTTGGGAATATCTCAGCATGTGTACCTCAAGAACAAACTCTTTTCATACTAGTTCGGCAGCTGGAGTAACTTCTCTATTTTTTTCCCAGACCAGCAAGTGTCGGGGATGTGCTTGATGGGATTCACATTGCTATCTGTACAAAACGACTATCGTTAATTCTTCCTCAGATATCCAACCAGAACTCACTGGTCAAAAYGTTCCTATTTTTAGAGGCTATAGAAAAGTTAAGGAATAAATTACTCATAGAGAATAAAATAACCCCCTCCCTCATTAGTAGATGTAATATTTCCACCACAAAATCAAATTGCAGCAGTAGTGATGGAAATTGCTCTTGCTTTGATGCTGTCTTATTCTTCTCTTAGCTGTTAAAATGAAGTCTTAAATCTCTAGTGCTGTCAATACGGTGTCTTCTAGATTTAATTTAGTCTCATCAGCTGGCCATTATGGAGCTAGTAGTCACTAGAAATAAACAGCAAAAAGCCTTTTGAAGGGAGTTTCATGATTCTGCATTCACACTGCATTGAAAGGCACAGCAGTATGAAGGTGCATACTTGGCMCAGTTGCAAAGGTGCCATTATCATCAGCAGATGTGGAACCATGATTTTAATTACACTTCTGTTGAAATTTAGAACCCATAGTTATTTTACAAAAATAATTTAAGATTCCTTGAATTGATAGTAATTGTAATTTAAGATCGCTTGAACTGACAGCAATTGGAAAGASATAGGACCCTCTGTACGCTCTAGGATGCTGTAAATCAATGGGAACAATTCCAGTCATTCCTGAGAGCTTTGAATCACCTCCTCCATGCACCTCACAGTGTTCTGTGCACAACCTCTTTCTCCTGAATTCTCCAGGAGTTGTTCCTATTGCTGCTTGTGTGTCTCACAGGACCAAAAGAGAGTGTGAAAAATATATATATGGTGTGATATGATTGTAAAACTTTCTAAATGAAGTGTTAAGTAAAACTAATGCGTAAGTAACTTGCATTTTACTGTGTGTTTACCTTAAATGATTTGATTGTAAGCTGTCAGTTCCCCTTTGATCTTCAGTCAAGCCTTCTTCCCTCCTCCTATTCTTCCTAACGTAACATAAAGTTTTATGTGTCCAAGACATCTGCTGGAAGGCTTTGGCTGTCTTACACCTTGCTTCTGTGGTGTGGATAAATTCTTGCATTCTGTCTGGCATTCGGATCTGAAAAAGAATTAATGATATAGATAAGCTCTTAGCTTAGGGCCAAATGTATCTCCATTCCAGCACTTGCATTCACCCTGAACCCCCAAAACAATATAACGAAGGTCAGTAAATCTGGATGAATACAGTAACATGTTTTATGGTCTGAAAAAAAGACCTTGTAGTTTAAGACATTTCAAAAATGTGCCTTGCTGGTAAACAATGAGATTGAAATTTTGTCCCTGTTGATGTTACTGGCATTTCTATCATTAGAATGGGGTGGGAGGAGAAACAGTACACAGGTAGGTGGTATTGGAGGTCTAATATGCATGGCACCAGAAAACTGAATTTTATGGAGATTTGTTTCATTATATTTATACTAGTGATGGCATATATGAGGATAGAAGAGAGGTTTTATTCTGTTATATGCCTCAGGGTTTTTCAAGTCTTTGCTTTTGAAGTTTTATGTGTAGAAAAAAAAATCTGTGAGAAAACCACAAAAGATGCAAAGCATAATTTTTCAACTTTGCTATTAACARTTCAGCAAATTGGATGACAATGAGTTAGCAAAATTAACAGGAATGCAAATGTTAGGGGAAGAATGATAATAGGTGAAATGTAAGTGGAAGTGATGTGTAGATATACACCCTAGAAAAAAATCTCTGCAATGCTTCACATACATCAATGTATTCTTGATTCTTCTATCAGTATTTGAGTAAGGAGATATGGGTTGTTCCATGAAATTTCCACCCAATATAAAATGATAGATAAGAACCAAAGAGCTTTTCCTCGTGTTTGGTGCAACTTGAAAGAAGGGAGTGGCAAAAATATACCAAAGTCTGCTTCATCTCCTGGGTTGATGAGGGTACAGACTTACTGGATTGTAAAATTGTATGGATTACAACAAACATGGAGCTGTTCCGAATATGGTATCTGGTCAGGTCTCCCAAGACCCTTTGATTGCCACAATGTCTTTTTCTATGTATTCACTTGGGTGAGTGGTTTTCTGAGCAGAGATTTACAGAATAACTATTCCGACTACTGGATTGGAAGATATGAAATATTAGTACAGCCTATGGAATAACACTTGTGAAGGTAGATAGTAGAAGCATTTGTATCCATCTAMGCCAATATATATTAAAGTAATGACRATATACAATACTTATTTTTCAGTTTATAAAACCAGGCTCACAGGTGACCTCAGATACTTTTTCTTTACATTTCACGGATTTGGACTGCTCTCCATTGTATMCATTCTACATTATACATGGACTGAATTCTGGCTGGGTCTTAAACCAAGATGAAGCTTTTTACTTGATCTTGAGACCATAAAATTGTGAGTTTTTTGCAGATATTAGATGGAAATGCTGAATGGTACAGGAAATAAAGTATCTTAAGAATGATCTTCAGCTAATAACTTGGAATCATTCATACTCAAATGTAGGGAACAAAATTAAAAAGATAAATATTGATGAATGTTAGATTTACTTCAGTACTTTGAGCTATGTACATGAAGATAAATAGATTCATAAATACTCAGTACAAGTAATCTCATAAAATGTGAGGTTTCTATTTCACTGCAGGATGTACCATTTGACATCTTGTGTTTCAGCCAAATCACTAGACGGAAGGGTCCACTAATGTCTTTTTACAACTAGACCTCCTGCGCTTGCCAGAATTGAGCGTGTTACTGTTAGGTTTCTGCCTCCTTTGCCAGCAAATTTGGTTCTCTCTTGAATGACATAAGAATGAAAAAAACATGACAAAATTTGTCTTCCCAAACTTTGGCTTCTCAGTAAATTTGTATGATAATAACCAGTGTATGTCAGTCTTTCTTACTCGCTTCACCCTGCAAAGCATGACTTCAGTAGAGGAAGTTATTGCTCAGGTTGGAAATTCTTGACAAATTTTTGGAAATCCTTGATTTTGCCRTTCCAGACCAACAGTTTCTTTTTCATTGCCACGAGCCCTGGAGTCCATTATGATCTATTCTTCCTCACTTGAAAAGTTTGACCAAGAATATTTCCTGGTAACATGAAGGTAGCTATGCWGGCTGACTTCTGTCTTTGTCCCTGAGGAATTCAGAAGTTTCGTCATTAGCATAAATATGGGTTCTCAAATTCACTTTGCTGCTAGCTTTAAATTGGTTGTAAAGTCTCAAAAGTACAGTATCATGATCTTGTCTCATTCTTCAAAACTAATCTTCCAAATAGTATCTTAAAATCTTAATTAATTAAGACTGTGATAATTACATATTAATTTGTAAAACAACCAAATCTGATGATCAGCCTGCTATGCCCAAGATTATCAAACACAGGACAGCGCATTCAGTCTGCTCCTATGCTGATGCAAGAGGCTTTGTGCATTTGATGTATTCCTCAATGCATAAATCAAGGTGTGGTTGTGTTTGGGAAGAAGTACTAACAAATATGTAGCAAATACGAGGTCCCTGGTCACTTTGTTGTTAGTTTATAAACAGTAYATCTGACAAATCTGAATTAAATCCTAGTATTTTCCATAAGTCAGTAGAGATAATGCATAAAGAGCTTTGTTGAACCCTACTTTCACTTTTCACCTGTGTTAAAATCATGAGATTGATTTTCCTAGAAATTGGCTAAGAAAAGAAATAAGAAAGWGGAAATAAGCAGGACTGGAAGATAGTGTCTGGTTTATTAATGTATGAAAAATAATTTGGACCTGAGTCATTTTTTCTATTATATCCATTTTACACAAAAGTGCCCATACTGATTTTGGTGCAATTACTTAAGAAATACGGTTATATAGCCTGTAGAGCTGTAGAGGCAAAGCAAGCCATTCATTATCAATACACGAAGAAGCTGTTTTTTTAAATGAACTCAGTGTTTCCTCTCTGAGATCTCCACTAACCTCTGTGAACTGTGAAATGTTTATTAATTTCATTACAAAAGTGAGGCACATGCCTCGGTGTGGATTTAGAAGCCTAATGCAGGGCTTTTGCTTTAGGAAATTTTGGCTCTGCTCTTTTATGCACTCTTCAGATAGGATTTTTTTTTTCTGTTAACAAATGTGGTAAAGCAATTTTTTTCTAATTAGCGGGTAACCTTGCTGTGTTGTGTTTTAAAACAGACGGTACTTTGGTGAGAAAATTGGGCTCTACTTTGCCTGGTTAGGCTGGTATACAGGGATGCTCTTCCCAGCTGCCTTCATTGGATTGTTTGTCTTTTTGTATGGAGTCACCACCTTGAACCACTGCCAAGTCAGGTAATGTGAGCACTTTGGTTAGGGAAATTACAACTTGKGGTTATTATAAATAATTTAAGAGCTATTTGCATGAATTGTTAATTGTTTCATTTTGAATTGTCAAATGAATACTTAGGAAGAGATAGTGCTTTGCATTCAAAAGGTACCCTGCTTTTASCATCCCTGAACTGGGGTGGGATGCATCTTTTCTTGACCAACTTTGGTTAGTGCTGATACCAGCGACTCAGCATGAAGTAGGAAAACAGAAATAAGTAGAAATGGTAGGAGAAGCCTGGGATCCTACCTTATTCTCTTATAAGGCTGGAGATAGTGTGTAAGTTATACTTTCTTCAAGGTCATTCCCAAAGCCATTCACAGAGAGGCATTTTCACATGAGCTCCCTGGACCTTCTCCCTACATCTCTGTACAGTGCTACATCTCTGTATCTTCTGCACTTCACTTATTACCTGAGTACACCCACAAGAATGAGTCAATGTTATCTAAATGAGCACTCATCCTCACCCTCCTCCTGCAGAAGGTCACTTCTGATTCACCAAGAAGCCGGAAACTATTTAAAAAAAAAAAAAAAAAAAAAAAAAGCTACTGTTAAGTAGGCTGTAGTTACTTTGCTTCTAAAGAACTATTCTCTACAGCCAGGATCCCCAGACTGTAAACTCTGAAGCCTTAGGAAGTCAGCAAATATCCATTATACACATATGGTTATAAGCACCTTGAGTTACAGAAAGAATAAATACTGTTTGATACAGTTTTGTTTGAAACATAAGCAACTGAGAAAGTTATTTGTCAATTTTAAGACTGTTGTACATTAACATGTTATCTTTTTCTTTTTCAGTAAAGAAGTCTGTCAAGCTACAGATATCATAATGTGTCCTATATGTGATAAATACTGCCCATTCATGAGGTTGTCAGACAGCTGTATTTATGCAAAGGTACATTTTAGAATATGCAAATAGAAATGCTTTCTTTCTATTTAATGGTAATGCTTTCTGATTAATGGTAACAGCATTCCATTAATCTCTTCCATGAGCCTCTAGTGAACTTGGGTAGATAAAAATCTGCAAAGCAGATTGTTTAGGCTATAGAATACYGGGATGCAATTTGGATCAGTGGATTCAGCAGCTTCAGAACTGTGCCAAGAGGTATGTGCTACAGCATCCTTAGCATCAATCTTTATCTTTTCTATGCTCCTCAAAATGAACACTTGGAGTCTGAAATAAACCCAAAGTTTGAGCTGCTCCTACTTCCAGTTAGCAGAGGTCACTCCCAAACCACACTGGGGGCTCAGGGAATCAGCTGATTCCGAGTTCTGAAGCACAGGTGAGTGCACATCACTCATCAAGGGAAGAGTTTCAGCCTTCAGGATTATCAGMCCAGCTGTGCTCTGCATCATGCTAAATTTAGTTGGTAAATATACGAAATAAAACATTATTATCACAAATTGATCGATTTGTTCGTGTCTTTCTCAGGTAACCCACCTTTTTGACAATGGAGCTACTGTCTTTTTTGCTGTTTTCATGGCAGTGTGGGGTAAGTTTTTCTTTTACTAAGAGTAATTCCATCATGTTTTCCTTAAAGCTTGCTGGGGATACAGCACAGGCATTTTGTACAGCACTCCATACACTGAGGTGCACAGCACAGGCCTTAATTCTTTTCTCTTTCTGCAAAATGAAGATGGAAGTGGCTAGATTTTTTTAAATGTAAATACAGTAAGCAGTGCCTATAGGTAGAGTTATATGTTGTTTTTGAGTGTTTATAGATCCGTTGGCACTTTACTCAGACAACGGGCTTTGTTTCCGTTTAAAGAAGCTCAGTTTAGCATGTGCACTTAAAAGAATTAATGCATTATTTTTCCTTGATTTCAGAAAGGCAGTGAAGCCTTCTCTGATGAAATAAATGTGAAATTTATTTGAATGGTAAATTGATTCTAGAGTGATCTAACTGCTAATATAGAGGTTGTATTTTGCCTGTAGGACAAGTTCTATTTCTGGCTCAGCTATTTTTCCTCCTAGGATCTTGCAGGTAGAATTGAAGGCAAGAGGGAACAGTCATTTGTGGCAGTATATGGAGCTCTTCAAACCTGCCTTGAGCATGCCCAGGCTCTTAAATGCTACCATGCTGTCCAGAGAAAAGATTATTGTCACACATCTTAGAGGATACCCCAAGAAGGTGCCTCAAAAATGATATCTATCCCACAACTCTGGGAGGTTAAGCCATCCTGGTTTAGCCATTGTTCTCCATTTCTAATTTCATTTCACACATCTCAAATTCCTTTGGAAAGGGGGCCCAGTAATTCTCATAATCTCCATATCAAACAGTGAATCTCTTTGTTGACCCACAAGAGCTATCCAAGAGCCAATGTGAGAGCTGTTGGGAGATTCATAGGTTAGCCTAATGATCTGTCTGGACTCCAGTCCCAAAATTATGTTTTCATCTTAGTTAGATGAGTAGTTCAGCTCATATTTTGGTTGACTCTACCTATCYTGTTTCATGACTTATTCAAGTTATTAACATATCACAAACTAAATAAAGGAAAAAATCATCACGTTGTAATGGTTGAATGTTTCTCTGCTATTTTTGGCATTATTTTAGAGTTACACCAGAGCTGAGCATCACCAACAACTTCAAAGTCTCTCCTTTCAAGTTTTTGTTGTATGAATACTTAGTTTCTCAACCTCTTTCTCTATGCACTCACTGAAGCTGAGAATTCCCAAGACAGCTAGGGAACTGATCACTAACAAAAGTGTTGAAAGTTTGTACTGCTGCGGCGGTGTGTGAGGTTGTGGAGGTATTTTCATTAGAGTTGGGGCTGAAGTAACGTTAGAACAAGGGAAACCCTACTTCCCAGAGACTTTCAAGTACTCTATTTATGACTTAGCTTACCTCCTGTCTTAAGTGGATTTTCAGTCTGCAATAAGCCTAGTGCCAGCTTCAAGCATTACTGTCACTTTAGTAAATCATAGAGGAAGAGAGGAAACAGTGATAGCTTTTTGATTGTGGAAATGTTTTTTACATTGGCATGAAATAACTTGCAAGTGGATGATAAATTGGCTGTGAAAAGTCCAGCCTTCTAGATGATCCTTTCTGAGAGACAGTAACATATAAAATAATGGCAGCAGTTTTTTTTTTAAAAAAAAATAGAATGAGAGCAGAAAGGCAGCTAGAATTGTATTTTCTCTTTCGCCAGAGCATAGCCGCAGTCTGTTATCTAAAATACCTTCTTCACTGTCTTCAGATCCATTTATGAGCATCCATCTTGAGGCAGAAGTCTTATCTGTTTGGTTGGGATTTCCAAAAAAACAGGCATGGTCAGCCCAGCATTCCATGCAGAAATAGTATGTATCTGGGTAGTGTGTATCTCACTCTTTTTATTGGATTATATTTTTATAATTTGTTACAAATTGGATTCTTAACGAAGACAGGAAGAGAAATCAAGAGCAAGATGTCTTTTACAAATAAGAAATTTCTCTGAAAGAAAATCTTGATATGCTTAATCCTGAGTTGATTCTAAGCATACTGTTGTAAAGCCAGATGGGAGTATAGCATTTGCTTTGCCAGTTGAAATAACAGAGAAACCTAGTCTGAAGGTGTTATTGTCTAGATGTCGCCTGAAGCTCAGTAGCAAAGTTCTGTCCCTCTCCAGCAGCAGATATCACCCAGCAGTTAACCATTTTCTAATGATCTGCTAGAAAAACAGTTGGTTTTTCTCCTGTTTGTTTCTCTACCTGCTTTCTCTTAGTCTGCATGTCTTTAGGGGACTACAGGACACAAAAGAAGTCCATTTTGTAATTTCTTTTTGTCTGCCTAGAAGCACATTTTATTTTATAAGGGAAGTAGCTTCAGAATGGTTGCTGAAAGGCAAAGCTGTGAAAGTGAAAAAGGCCCACCTTTAAAATGCTTTTTAAGAGATAAGAAATGCTAACATAAAGCATTTTTCTAACCATATCACAGTTGATCTATTAAAAGATATTACCTACCTACCAAGTTTGCCTCTAGCATAAAACATTTGTATTGATGGGGCTGAGGAGGCGAGATTTAAGGTGGCTTCTATAGCAGCATTCCTAGTATAATAGACTATACTCTAGAAAATGAAAAAAAAAGATATATTAAATAGTGTTCTAGATACAGAGAGAAGGCTAGGATTTAGCTGTTTGCTGAGTCGAGCTATTTGCATTAGCACAACTTAGTCCAAAAGCATTTGAGGAGGTGACATTAAGAGAGATGTTCATACAAATGGATACCAAGGAGTGAATAGCAAAGCTGAGGTATAAAAGAGGTCAAGCATAATTTATATTAAAAAGAATAGCACAAGTTGTGGGAGTTAAAATCTATGACATATTCAAAAATTTCTAGCAGGATTTTTGGAGAATGCTCAACATATGGGGTAAATGCTTCAATCGGAAATGCTCTAATAGGAGCACTGTAAGTACAGCTGAATTGTATAATGCTCTCCTAGTAAGTAAAGCTAGTAGGTGTAGGAGGCATTAGTGATCACTTGACTAGAAAGAAAGGAGAGAAATTTCCAAATGCAGTGTTTTTAAAAGTCCTCAATAGTACAGTAAATCAATCAAAACTGGTTATTTATAGCACATTTCAAAAAAAAAGGCATCAAGGGAAAAGTGCATATTGACCTCAATAGAGGAAGAAAAATGTGCCAAAATAAAAGCTGAAACAGAGCTGTGCAGATCTCCTATTTGGTACTTAATGATTTGAAAATAACTTTGAAAATGAGGTTGATGAACTGAGCATATGAAATCTGACMGATGCCAAATATACCTAGTATAATGTGCATAGACTCCTCCTCGAGGTACATGAAAAACAAGAGTAAAGTCCTGTTCATCAYAGACACATCTGAGAGATTCATGCCTGTAGATTCATATGTCCCTGAGATCCTGCTTCCAGCTTCTTTTTGGAATGGATGCAGAGTGATACTAACCAGCCAAGACTGTGTCCATCAGATCAATGGAAAATGCACTGGATGAGAGACATAATGTCAGTCTCTTGTGGCACTGTTAGATTTGATATTATCCTAGCTCATGAGCAAAGTTTTGTGTTCCCTGTGGTCATCATCTTGCTGTATTTGACTCAGCACTATAGGCAAGAGCCAAACCTTACTGTGGGAGAGGAAGCCTTTCTATCAATTGGAATTAAAGACAACATCTACATTCTTTTAAGATGAAGTATTTAAAATTATATATACTCTTAGGATTAGTGTCTAGAATAGTAATGAATAATTGTATGATTAAATGCTTCCTTGATCATTTCTTTCATCATAAAATGAAATCACAGTCATAAACAGGCATTTTATAGTGTCACAAATATAATAACTGTCAATAAAGGCTGTACGTTGGAGTGTTCAACTGCCATAGTTAATGCCATACCATGTATGTACCATCCTGTATGGTAAGAGAAATGTTTAGGGTTAGCAAGGTATAAGAGAAAAGCTCCAATTTCTTCAGTAGCAATCTGTTGATTTTCATGTTCACTGGAATTTTCTTCTTCTGGCTCTCATGTATTTTAAATGCTGTTCAGAAAAGGAAATTTATCTACTTTATCTACCCTATCCCCAAGAAAGCCTTAGCATCATCAGAAATCTGCCATTTTTAGCTGTGATGGCTCACAGGAACAATTTATTCTTTGCGACTCTTCCTTTGGTTCATTTGAAATTAAATGTTTTCATTTAGGACTAAATGAAATCTCTACAGCTTCAATCATGCTTGACACAAGCAAAGTAATCCTTAGAAAGCAATACCTTTTCAAGGCAGTTTTGATCATCAGCATGATTTACTGTTCAGAGAAGCCCATTTATGCAAAGAAATGAAAATAATGTAACAGTTTCATTCCTCATTTCTGTAGTTATCATTTTCATGACTTAAAAACAATTTTATATTTTTTTATTTTTGCTCCAGCAACTGTTTTTCTGGAGTTTTGGAAAAGAAGGCGAGCAGTAATTGCTTATGACTGGGACTTGATTGACTGGGAAGAAGAGGAGGTTTGTACAGAAATATTTGTTTCCTAATCTTCAATACAAAATAATTTGGTTAAAAATGTAAGCACATTTTTTATTTTGTTTTTATTTTTAATTTACTTTTCAAAGGTTCACGAGCAGGAAAGTTACATTTTTCTCTTCAGATGGCTCATTGGGACCGTGAAGGAACTTTCCCCAGGACAAACTGTGTTCTGCTTTTATGCCTATGTAAAAGCAAAAGAATTTCATTAATACTTGTCATTGAGGGAGGATATTTTTTGGGGAAAAAAAAGTACATTGTAGGGGAAGGTTACCAAACTTGTGTTTAATAACACAAGTGTGTTGTTGGAGATGTAACTTCACAGGCCTTGTACCATTTTCGGAACTTCTGGGTACTGGTTAGTTCCTAGAACTAGGAACAGGGAACAACAACAGGGTGTAAGTTCTGTGAAAACAGTGAGGGAGATAACCAGCTAACTTGATCAAAGGACTTAATCTGTCCCTTCTTACTAAAGGAAATCGTCAGTGCTGGAAACTAAAAGCTGAAAAATAGCTTTAGACTTTCTTCTGCTGAGGTTACCAGAAGAAGGGATGAACCCCGAGCTCAAAGCAGAGGTCTGGGTGGAACTAGCAGATTTTATTATGCAAGAGAAAAGCAAGATTCAAGAGTAGGCAGGGCAGAAAAAGTCCTTCTCCAAGTGGRATTTGGACCTACTGGTGTCTGCAGAAGCTGCTTTCCTCCCTGTCTTGGGGGGCTACAGGAAGATGCTCAGTGCAGCTTGGCTTGTGTATTTGTGGAAGAATTTCCTTCTCATTCATCTTGCCAACAAAGAAAAAGACTTCTGAGTTAGGGGATTTTTCTCTTTACAAGGCAATTTAATGTGCTGAGGCCACAAAATGCTGCATATGCTGATTTGGTGGTAGGATTTTTTAAAAATGCTTAATGTCTTAAGAAAATAAGCCAGGGATATAAAATGAAATAATTGTCAAARCTGAAAATTGCGGGGTTTTGTTGTTTTATTTATKTATTTACTTATTTATTTATTTGTAGCAACTACAGCATCACTTTGTTCATGCACTGTTAAGTCTTGGAAGTACCTTGTCACTTTTGTCAGAGTATGCAGAGAATACTCTAGGACTGCTTTACCTCTCCTGAGATTAGCAGTCTGCTCTTGCTAGTGCTGAAAAGTCACAGGGAGAGCACACAGAGCCAGTCCTGCTTGAGCTTCAGTCATCTGACATTTCCTACAAATCTTTCCTAGCTGTACTCAACATAAATGTTGTCTGTCTGTTTTTCAGGAGGAAATACGTCCCCAGTTTGAAGCCAAGTACTCCAAGAAAGAGCGAATGAACCCCATATCCGGGAAGCCAGAGCCTTACCAAGCATTTGCAGACAAATGCAGCAGACTCATTGTTTCTGCATCTGGAATATTTTTTATGGTTTGAGAACTTATATTTATTTACTGGTTGCATAAATACAATTCTGGATATGATTTCCTGAAAGTTAAATAAGTTCTAGTATGTTTAGTGCAGGTTAAAAATCTCTACACAGCAAATATCCTTAGTTGCAGTGAAGTCCCATGTTAGTGGAAGGATGGTGCTGTTACATTTAGGCTCCGACTGATTTTTTTAGGTTCCCTATGTAGACAGTGCAGAATGATGAAGAGATGCTGTGGAGGAGGCAGTTGTCCTTCTTCCCTTCAACTGAAATTATAAAAATGTGTTTCCTTGACACCTGGATGCCTTATTATACTTAAATTCGAGGTATAAACTCCACAGCAAAATAACAGAAACTCAGGTATAACTTAAGATCCAACTTAACACATATAAATGAAAAAAAAGGCTTTAAAGTACCTCTGCAGATAATTTACTCCAGTTTCTCAAAACAAGCATGAGATCTTAGGTTTTATCCCCCATGTCTTATAGGTATACACGAGAATATTAAGATGATTTATATTGTTTATGCACCTATTGGACTTCATGCAAAACTTTTCATACGCACAATAGCATGTGAGGGTTTTTTCATACAATCTACTGTTTGTTTTGCATTGCCTTGGTTTTAAACTATAAAATACAGCATGAAACTTGACTTCCAATTTCYAACTTTAATTAAATGTGTACCTATAGGAAAGAAATGCAGAAAATAGCTATTTTATTCCTATCCCTAAACACACAGATTTGGGTGTTTAATTCTGCTGGTTATTGCTACAGTCAAGTACCTAGAAATTTGTCATGTTCTAAAAATTGAAACTGCAAAAATACTTTGAAATTCTGTGAGTACTAAATGCAAGATTCTGTTATGTAATATTTCCTGAAGCAACTTAGGAATTTTGAACTCATTTATGCAATCCAAACCAGAATTTTGATATTTTTAATGCATAATTGTATCTCTAATTTGGAGTTAACAGCACGGTTCTTTTTTTCTGAAATTATATATAAAGAAATGTTAAGATTATTTAAGTCACACTTATTTTTACTCTTTAGAATAACATATATAATAGAAGTAATGCTTTTCCTTGAAGCTGATATTACTTATACATGTAATTGATGCTATTAATATCATACTGACATGACACAAGTCTCAGATGCAAGAGGACTGAAATTTTTCCTTCCCCTTCACACGCTTTATGTTCTCGCCAGGTCAAGTGCTCTTAGTCTAGACTACCATTCAAACTAGAAAAGCTCTACAGGTGTTCTAGTCTAAAGCAGTGCATAAGCATGAAGGTGGATGGTGGTCACCAGAGCCTTATCACTTTTAGCCCTGGCTCCTGGGGCAGGATGTGCTCAGGTTAACAGGAGCATCTACATCGTGTAGGGAATCCAGAGGATCTAATAAACTGAATGACAGTTTTTTTTTCCAGGGCAACTGAATTTATTAGCATCCCTAGGAAGAATCATTCCAGAACAAAAGCAAGAAAGAGCTTGTAGGGTAGCTTGCCAGGGTACTTGTTGAAGCAGTGCTTACAAAAAGAGACATTTTTTCCCTGTAAGTGCAAAGTTCACCAAAGGAGAACATCTATCCCAAATGTGACTTGACTAGGACATCAGTTTAAAGATAACTTCTGCACATCATTGAGAAATGCATGAGAAATGCAAAATATCCGATTTCTAGATCTTGAAATGCTGTTTCCTACATTAATGCTAAGGAATACTTATATTTTCAGGTCAATGTTTAAATATTTTCTTAATATGATATTAGAAATACTTTACATTATAGAAGACAAGAAAAAGGTTGAAATATTCATGTTACAACTTCTCTCTGGAATCCAACCAAATGAATTTTTCAAACAGTTTACTTCATTCAGTGTTTTAAGAAGGAAAATCCGATTTCCCTGAAAACCTCATTTTTCAGATTGTTCTCTCTCTGCTTTTTTTTCCTCTTTAGATCTGTGTGGTGATTGCTGCTGTTTTTGGAATTGTTATTTACCGTGTTGTGACTGTCAGCACTTTTGCTGCCTTTAAGTGGGCTTTAATCAGGAATAATTCTCAGGTTGCAACTACAGGGACTGCAGTGTGCATCAACTTTTGCATCATCATGCTACTGAATGTGGTAAGTAAACCTAAACCACAGCCAAAGCCACCACCAGGGTGGTCTCAGTCTGTAGATTACCAATTCTTTCAGATCCTAACTCCATTTCCACCTTTGGCATAGGCAAAACTGAGTTCATGACTTGAACAGACTCCAAAGAACTATTGGCTTTCCTGTTTTTCCCTAAGATGGGCCCATAGCCTGTGAAAGGACAGGAAGAAGAGGTGGAAGCTATTCTCTTGGAAGTTACATAGAGGGGTGTCTCCTTTTATGTTATTTTCAATTCACTGCTCTTTTCTACAGCTTATAGAGCATTTTTATCTATCTAGAGCACACCATCATCATATATTGTGAATATAAAAGCAAGTAAATATAAAGAAAACTATGTATCTTCTTATCAGCAAAGCTTGCATTTCCAAACACTCATTATAAATGATAGCGGTGTTACTACAGTGAAGCAGTAACAAAGCAGTACTGCATGAATAAAAATATCTGTTTCTCAAAGATTTCTCCAGGGGAAATGTTAAAATAATGGAAGATGCCATAAAGATATCTTTTGGAAAGCTGCAGGTGTTTTTTTTTTTTTTTTTTTTTTCAAATATATCAAATAGAGTACAGCAAAAATAGATTTCTTAAGCCTTATGCTCACTACCATGAAATACCATGGCCTTAGAACTGGATACAGCTCATGGAAACAAAAGGCCCAAAAATGCGAAGCTGCATGAGCTTTTCTAATGAAGGAGTTTGGAACATAATCCCTCCTTTCCCTTAATGGATGAATGAAGTTTACAGAAGGACAGTAGTGGGATTTCCTTTGAGTATGAATAGTTCTTTGTTGGATTTTTGTTTGTTTGTTTGTTTGTTTGTTTTTATTATTCTTTTACCAGATTGTATTTCAAGAAGCGTAACAGGAGACCCAGGAAAGAAAGAATTAAAAAAGGAAAAAAAAAAAAAAAAGCTCAAGGTGACATGTAGTTAGGGAATTCGCTTTCACTGCCAGGAAGTCAATGACTAACAAAAGTTGTCAACCCCAAACCATCAAGGAGAAGGTCTAGACTACTAGTAACCTCTAGACTGGAGGCTCTGAGATATGGGTAGATATCCTGATACATCCATCATGACAAAATTATATGACCRTCAAGCCTAATGTCTGCCAGATAATCATGCTGCCTGATGTCATCAGTTATCTGGGTTGATAAAGACCATTAATTTGAATGACACTGTCTACAGAAATTCTGAACACAGAATAGGAAAGGGCCTAAGCAGGGCCCTTTGGAATGGGCAGCGATGAGCTGTAGTGCCAGGTGGTCAAAGCCAGTCAGTGCTGATAGACTCTCTATGACAGCCTCGCCACTCCAGAAGCAATCACTGCAAAACTGCTCTGCCCTTGTTCTGCTCTRTGCTTGCAACACCCACATCCACAGAGCAATGTGCATTTATAAAACGGCACACTCCCTACCAAGACAAGCATGTAAACAAGCAAGGCATTTAGCAGTTTTACGCTTGCCATTAGGAGACACTTTTAAACCTAGAAGAAATCACATTTCTCACTACGTGAAACAAAACTGTCTGTTCTGGAGGCAGCAAAAAGTTGTTCTAAACACAAAGTGGTTGTTAACATGGATGAGATAATTCAGGATGACTTCAGTTCATAAACGGTTGGTTTAAGCTGTAAATTGTACCTCACTTAGCTTAAGCAACAGTTTATAAAGATAACTGCAAATGAAAATAAACATTGCTGGATATTCACTTTAGGAATAAACAAATACTTGGGCCTGAAAAGAGAGGAGCTCTGTATCCCTGCAGGCATCAGGGGGAGCTGAGGCTTTTTCTCCATATATTGTTCATGGAAAGTGCTATGTGATTTTTTTAAAATTACTGTTTTTTGTTTGATTATATCATTATAGTATTATTACTATATAAATTTATTTTTGTCATCACAGCATCACAGAGATTATCTGAATGTCAGTTTTAAAATGTAAAGCAGTTACTCTTCCTAGGAAACAGTCCTATATTATTAACTATGGCAATATGATCTGATTATGTTTCTAAGAGGGTATTTCTTCTCTGTTGCAGCTGTATGAAAAGGTTGCCCTTTTTCTGACAAATTTAGGTAAGCAGTGATAAATATAGAACTGAACAATATTGAATTGATTTTCTTGTGTATGTACCACAGCTGTGTTCAAACTTTCTATCTAAATATCAAATCATAGTTAACTTAAAATCTATAACAGTTGTTGTTTTTGTTAAATGTATTATAAATTTTATAATATAAAGGCTATTAAAAGATGTACATACATCAGCTTAGCTACAGCTGAGTTGAATCAGTAGTTGGTTCTTTCCCAATAAGTTTGGTTCTTGTTCCAACCCCATAGACCATGAGAACTGAACAAACAGTTATCATGGAGGCAAAGACATGGTTTGTCAGAGAGAGGTGAGTACTCAGCTCTCAGGTTTTGTAGAGATATGGAAATTGCAGAATCACTTTGGGAAAACAAATTTAGAGCTTGAGACTAAGGTGCTTACTGGCTATCAAATACTAAATGTTGTCCCTAGGATGGCAATSGTCTGTCACCATATAACTAGGGTTAGGACAGAGTCTGGAGATCCTGGGAGGTAGTAGTAGCTGGTCACAACTGTCAATGACCAATCTTACTGTCAAGGCCTGTTAAGCCAGGCATATTATTGCATGTGTAGCAAAAGTTTTTAAAGGAGGTTATTTTGAACCTGGTAYGTTGATGATATTAATGATGTATTTTGGATCAGGCAGACAGATTTGAGCCTTGCTTAGAGGAAACACCGAGCTGATTATATCTAGAGTTAGAGCAATTTTATGTCTGGAAAATCATAGATGATGTGTTCAAAACATATCTGTGTGAGAGGCTATTTTATTCTGTTTTTCATCTTTGATTTGAAGGTTGTAAGCTTAAAATGTTGCTGTTATCCTGTATGAGTGGAAAAGGCAGCTGCTACTTACAGCTGAGAAAAGTGACATCCAAGTGTGTTATTTGCACAGCATATGCCCTTTTCCTCCCAGTAACACCCTGGGGACAGTAAGACAGTCATTAAAGAGCTTGAAACTTGATTAGTTTCTGGCAAGTTATCATCAAGGCAGAACTACTTCTTGTAGCATGAGAACTCAGTGGGTCAATCTATTCTGAACATGTTCAGTCTCTTTTGTGTTTCCTACTATGTCTCAAAAGTCGCTGATTTGGTGTGGATGATCATTATCAGGGTAATAACCTCAGACTGGCAGCCCCAGTTACATTCAAGATTTGTTTTTCCAGTCTTTACATGACCTTTTTCTGAGTTCACTTCTGTGCTCCTCCAGCAATTCTGCCACTGTCTCCAAGTCTGGCTAATAAGCARCACTTCAGGTGCAGCGCTGTTGAAGTCAAACTTGTCCTTCCAACAGATTGGCATAAAAAATCCTTCATTTCTTTCTGCTTAACTAAACACAGAGTTGGGTTTCTTGGCATGCCTTTCTGAAGTACTAACACCACTGGTAATTTATAGTTTATTTTTTTAGTTTTGTTGATGCACCCATTTGAAAATTCCTCATGCATATATCGGCTCTGATTAATGAGAATCTAGTTTGTCAGTGCTGTTTCAGTATTTCCAATACTTTAATAGAGGTTTCCTTGGAAATAAAAATAGCAGACCTGCATCAGTGATGCCCATGGCCACCAGCGGTACCTCTACTTCTCCTCTGAATAATCCTGCTCACAGCAGTGGGATGACTGGTAGCAAGCTCAGGCCAGTTGGCCTGCAGCACCTGCAGGACATGATGCTGGTGTGTTGGCACAGAAGTTATTCTGCAAATTCCTGTCCTGACTACTGTTTAGGTGGGAATCAAGGGTCACACTGAAGGGAAGATGTATGTCTTCTCCTTTTCAGTTTGTSCAGTCATCCATCCATTGTGAAATATTTTTTTCAGTCCTCTGTGATGAGTTCCCTCGGAGAAGGAAAGACATGATTCATACATTGACAGCAGAGAGTCCATAGGTGCCCATCATGGTGGGTAAATCCATGAATCAGACCCACAGGAGGATTTGCTTCAGTTCAGTGTAACACCTCAAACAACAGGCACGCACGTAGCTGTGTGGTGAGATGTTTGCTACCAGTTTAGTTCCAGCAGATTGCAGAAAGGGAGGCAGCAAAAGAGCCTGAATGCACACAGTAATCCAAAAGGGATGTTGAATGTACATATTAGCACCACTGCTTTCTTACAGTCTATTGAGACTGCACATAACCAAGAGTCAGAACAGATTTCTAAGGGTAWTACAAGCTAGCTGTTCTTTGCTTCTCTCGGATATGATTTCTACTGTCAGCTTATATATTGAAATCAACAGGCTAATTTGCAAATGCAGTGCCAGCCCTGATAGGTGCCTGCAGCTCCTGTGTCAAGTAAAATAGTTACCCTGATTAAATCTCTCAAACTCTGCTCTCTGTCTTCACAGAGCAGCCTCGTACTGAGTCTGAGTGGGAGAACAGCTTCACTCTGAAAATGTTTCTTTTTCAATTTGTCAATCTGAACAGCTCTACCTTTTATATAGCATTCTTCCTTGGAAGGTAAGACATATTCATAGAATAAAGTACAGAGGAGAAATACAACTGTCTGTAATGAAACAAAATGGGACTGTATGACCAAACACCTCCAAATGCAAATTCCACAGTAGCAAGATAGGAGAAATTATTTCATTTTCTTTTAAAAGACCTAGAAACAGACACATTATTATCACTTCCTAGCACGATATTACCTCTTGCACAATTGGGAACTGATGCCTTCCACAATGCTATACATGCAGGTCACTTTGCTCTGTCTTCATGGGTATAATATGTACAGGTAATTAAATAACTTAAGACTTTCTTTTCTTTTCCAAATACTGAATGCTCTGTGTCCTTYCTTCTGTGATTTGGTCTGGTAGCTGTGAATTGAGAGCTATTRKAATTTGAGGGTTTTTTTTATAGAAAATGAAAAACTCCGTGTGTGCATGCRTGTGTATATATGTCTCTTTCTGTCTCTTCCCTAAAAGCAAAAGAAAAGCCTATCAGTAGAGATGGAATATCCATTAGTGTGGATTATTTGTATGTGGGAAGCATTCAGGGGGGAAAACATGACAGATTCACTGAAGGCAGGTACCTSATCTCTCATTAGGGTATAAGGAAATGGTCTGGTGGTTGAAAGTCAATTTCCAAAACCATTTTCCAAATTGACATAATCAGTTTTATTCAGATTTGCTCCCTCCCCTGCATAGTAAACATTAAGCAACAAAATATTTTGTCTTCATATAAATTTGGAAGTAAAATTATACTTGGCGCTCAATGTGAATTATTTTAGGAATCTCCCCAAACTTCTTGCAGCGTAACGTCATTTCTAGTTATATCAATCCTGCAAGCATGACATGAGACATAAAACAACAAGGTGAACTTTATTCCACTGTTGAATTCCTCTTTTGGGAGCAGAGGGCTCGTATAACATCGTTGATGTGTATTCCTGTGTTAAAGATTTACAGGACACCCTGGTGCCTACTTGAGGCTGATAAACCGGTGGAGGCTGGAAGAGGTGAGTGTTCCCTGAGTGCTCTGTTCCTGGAACAAGCTTCACTGATCCATCTGCTGCCAGTGTGGCTGCTGATCACAGAGGCAGGCACATCTCTGTGCCTAGGTGTTTTTGAGTGTATTCCTGGATTCTTGGTTGCTCTCTAACTCTACGCTACTGACATTCTACCATCTGTGCAGAAACATCTAGGTATTGATATATGCATCTGCATATTTTTTGCGGAGTTCTTCATTTGACTAATAGTGATAAATGGTTTAAAATTTCCTTACTTTTTTACTTTAGAAAAAAATCATCCTTGAAATAAATTGAAGTCATATGTGAATCTGATGACTTTTGACTTCTAAAATGTTCTCTCTCTCAGTTTTTTCAACTTTGCTAACCAGGGAGCTAAAATAATAATAATTAAAAAAAGAAAGGAAAAAAAAAAGATACGTAGAAGGATACATTTGAAAATTATCAAAACTACAGAGCAAACTTTCTGAAAGAGTTAATGTCACAATGTTTGATATCTATAAATAGAGACCGATTTAGAGAGGAATTGGGTTTCTAAGTCACTTAAAGACCAATCCCATTTTATGTTATATATATGCAGAAGTCATTGGAGATGAACAACAGCAGTGTACAGATCAATAATGTAGCCTCTAATGCTGCTATTTGCACACTCAAATCCCATAGCTTTCTTCCCTCTTTGCAGCTGAACAACTGAATAGTCTTTGCAAATACCTGATAAAYGGCGAGTAAATAATATACCTTCTTACCTTCTCAACATGAATTCACAMATGTTTTGGTTGATAGATGTCATTTAGAAAAAATGAGCATATATCAAATTATTCTTTTTTAAAAAAAGGGTCCTTATTTTGAAATATGAGCTTTGTGCATTCAAGGAAAGAAGAAGTTGTAACTAGGCAATTGGGAAGTTACTGGACATCCCTTTGAACTCCAAAACGGGCCCAGCTGACCTAATATCTTGTTGCTGCCAAAAGGGGCAGTTTTGCTCTTCCCTTGAGCCTTCCTCCAAATATTTCCTTCCTCTTCTTCCTTTCCATTGGCTATGATATTCTTCACATCTTGTGGGAAGCCTACTGGGTCTCCTATATCAGCAGGAAGGAAACCCTTCTTTTTCCTGCCTGAGTTATTTTTCTGATAAGTTACTGGACTGCAGCTCAAAGAGGTGCTGGAGAACTGGAGAAGCTCATGTGCAGGAGCAGAGACAGGAGGAAAAAGTAGCAGAGCGTGGGAGCAAAGTGTGGTGTTGAGGTGTCACAGGTTGGTTCAGTTYCTCTGCTGAAACTGAGATGCACCCAGATATCCTCCTAAAGGAAGAGAGAACATTCTCCATGATGAAACAAACAAACAAAAAGTGTGCTTTAAACAAATAAAACAACGATACCACCACCAAATACCAAACCTTGAGAAAAAAAAATATCCTATGTATTTTCAACAGAACTAGTCTCTACTATTTTGCCAGATATACACCCACTAGCCTTCTATGCAGTTGTTAGATGAAGCCAAATGCCAGACCTTTATTCTCCAGATATAGTCCACTGGCTGTGACCACATTCAGTTCCTGTGGTAGTGATGTTATGCTCGTAACATCTTTGATGTTTTCTTAGTACTGAACCTGTTTTTCTTAGCCTATACTGGCTCATGTGGCTGATTCCTAAAAACAGAATGATGATGCTTTAGTAATAAGTCCAGATAAGTTATTTTAAAAAAAGTGTCTGCCAACATTGTTAATCTGAAGAAAGGCTGAATGAGGTCAACAGAAACCTCAGCAGGGACACTGGCTCTAAGCATCACATAATACAGTGTGTATAAGAACCTGGTAGTGCATTTTATTACAGATCCTAAGCACTGTCAAGTTTTTCTCTCTAAAAGTTTAACAGTTCCAGTTCCAGGTCTGTGACAGTGATAAGTTTCACTTATCTGTAATACCCAGGATTTAACAGTGCAGCTTGGACACCAGTGCTTGGACCTGTAGAGCCAATYGCACAAAATGCTTTTTGAGGACAGGTAGTTTAGGGCTCTGTTCTCTTTCTCCCAACACCAAATTAAAATAAGATGGAATTACATAAGTTTGTACTRGCTCAGTGTCTCTCTCAAAAGCAAGACCACTTGTTTTAGCCACTGCTAAACCAAGTGCTAAAACAAGTAAGCACTATCTGGAGAAACTGAGAACCTTTGTGTGGAGTGAGAGGACTTTATTTTTTCAATAAAAATAGAACTCATTCATTTACTTTACTCAATAAACTTCTGTATATAAACTGTGGTAGTGAGAGGACTTTATTTTTTCAATAAAAATACGACTCTACTCATTCRTTTACATTACTCAATAAACTCCTGTATATAAACTGTTTGTATGTGCAGCCAGGAGGAATTCTGCATTCATTCTTAAAACTGAAGCCTAGTCAGCCTGCTCAAAATGTATTGAAATCATTGGAGAAACTTGTATTCTCCTTGCCTTTGCTTCTGTCCCACCTACAAAGTGCAATACATTAGCATCATTAATGTGAAAACTTCATTGATTTCTGCTGATTTTGATTTCTGCAAGAAAGTAGATGGTGGGATTAAAAGACTCATGATATAACTTCATATGCTCCCATGAGTTTAAATTCAAATATATATATATTATATATACACACAGCACAGAATTTCCCTTAAATATATTACCAAATATCCATGTACACTCTTTAAGAAATGCTTAACAACTCAGCATTATTTCTATTTAACTTTTGTTCCTCTTTTCTGTAGTGCCACCCTAGTGGATGCCTTATTGATCTCTGTATGCAAATGGGTATTATAATGGTGCTAAAGCAGACCTGGAATAATTTCATGGAATTGGGCTACCCGTAAGTCAATGCCATGCTTCTGCTTCTGTAGGTCAGAGAAGAATATTAAGTTTATTGCTGCATTCTGACCAGATACATGAAAAAAGATACAAWAGTAATTACAATAGAGAATTCATCCTAGAGTAGAGAATGCTTAAGAGACATTTCTAGACATGTAGAGGTAGCTATAGTTTCTGGTTTTTATAGTTTTCAACAGTGAAATATAACTGCTAAATAATAAATGGGAAGGAAATACTTGATTTTATTAAATTGCATTTCCCTGTTCTAAAACTCATTAAAAATAACTGTAGGACTATAGTGTTCCTTATGCAGGAAATATTATATGTATCATTTTTATCTGCTTCAGTATGTTCCAATTTGCATTTCTCCTTGCTGAGTGATAAAAAATGCCTGAAAGGCAGTTATTGGCTGGAAAAAAAAAATGCCCTGCTAGCACACACATGCTCAGAGACAGAAAAATGTTCAGACCTGATCTATAGGCAAGCTTCTGGGTGGGAGTGCCCCACTTCAGGGCACTGTAGAGTTGTGCCTTAGCTAAAAGGGTTGATGAGTATTCATTTCCTATTTGCTTATTTCCCATTCATTAATGCTTAATTAGCATAATTAACATAGGCAGTTGATGGCGGAAAGTGTGTGGCAGATCACCAGGGGAAATCAGCAAATAGGAGAATGTGAGGGAGGGCTGATGTGTTCAGGAGGTTTGTCCTTGCAAAGCCATGGGATGGGACATGTCCTGCTGCAGGGTCCACAGGGGAGCTAGCGCAGAGTTGGTCCCCGCTCTGCAGCACATGCTGCAGCAGCCTCAGCRCCGACCAAATCCCACCGGGATGAACACGGGGTTAATGATCTAAGCGGACAGAGTAACTGGGAATCAAAGCGGTTAGCACCTGCTTTCTCTCCYGGGTGCCCCTGCCTGGGTTGGTGCCCAGTGATGCCTGTCACAGTTCCACAATAGTTACTGCCAGAGGAATTAGCCAGGAAGGAAAAACAAGGGCAGCAACAGTGATCCTTCTCTTTCCCCTCCCTGTCCTTTCTGCCTCTTTTACTTGGATCTTTTGGCAAGCTGCTAATAAGGATTTTGAAGCCTGATAAAGAGCACCAASGGGATTAAAGCAGGAGACTCAGGGAGATAGAAGGGATCATTTAAGAAGGACGAGAGGTTTAATGGAGTGAACTCTGCTTAAAGTAAAGAAGTTGCTCAGTTCATTTTAGAATCACAACACAAATCTGGGTAATGTGACTAAGACTTGTTCTGAAGAGGAAGGGATTTGGTCTCCAGCTCTTTTAWTCCATCGCTCCAGCCCTGAAAGTCCTCTGAAGGAGAACCTATTTCCCCACCCCACTCTTTTCCTTTTTGGAGGGGTTGAAAGTAAAACATCCTTTAGCTAAATGCATGACTGGAACCAACGCTGTGTGGATGATCAGAGAATTTGGYGGCAGTCCAGCAGTTTACAAATTAATTGTGCCTCCATCCACATACTAGCTATAGTCTGCCTAGACTCAGGCAGTCACCAGCACCATGTTCTCCAAAGCCAGCAGTGGGGGATGTGTCCCCATAAAGTAGCCCTACAAGATGAACTAAAGCAGCCTTTTTTTGTTTGGGGGCTTTTATTTTCTGGTTTTTTTTTTTTTTTTTTTTTTTTTTTTTTTTTTTTTTTTTTTTTTGCGTTGTTTCAGCTCTAGTGCTGGCATGTGCTCCCACAAGGATCTTGGAGACACCTGGAAAAATGTGAAATGCCCCATAGGGCTCCAGCTGTTCTTTAGTAACAGGAATCTTAAAGGCTGCTGTCACTTCTCTCCCTGATACCTGCCACATTAGCTTGCATTTTGAAATTTCTGCCTGAGAATTAAAAAAATGAAAACCAGAAAGTTTCCCTCTRTGTGCTGAGGGTTGAGTGCTAGAGCATTTGCTGTTCAGTGGTTACATGTTTTGATGCAAATGCTGCCATGTCAGAGGGGCGCTCTGCTTCCTTTAAACACCACCTTGAAACCCTCAGAAATGTGAGTCAGTTCTCCTCTCTTGTGTTGCTAAATAGATACATACAGTAACTAGGAAATGAAGTATCAATTATTGCTTCACTTGAAACTGGGAGACTGCAACTTCAGCTTGGAATTTGACTTGGAAGAAGAACATATATCCATAGAGAAAAAGACATTGTATTACATTGCTCACATTTTTCAGGACATACAAATCAGAAAAAGACATTTCTTTGGATATTACCAGCAGTCTTCAATGTTATTAGCAGTGGGCATGGGTTTCCCCTCTCACATGATAGGAGATTAACTGGGATGCATCTCACACTATCAGTCTCCCATTCACTTCATCCCTCAATTTTCGCTCTTTGCAGGAGATTAGTTCTCAACTCTCTCACTATCCCATGGTAAGAGTAGGAGAGGTAGAGCACCAAAAGGGTGCTGCAGACTTCAGAGAATTACTTTTATTGACCTTAATCCATCAATCACAATCATGTTTTCTTAACAAGAGTGGATCTTTTTGCCTTTTTACATATTAAAGACCAAGATCAAGAGAAAATATTTCATGTGTTTTTGTTTGTTCGTTTTTCTTTTCCTTTCTCTGCTAGCTGTAACTCATATCCCTTGTTGGCTAAACCTACCAATGCATCTCTCTGACCTATGGGGCCAAAATATGGTGTTTACTGCAGATATAGTCATTCCTTTCCTCTCTCTCTCAGTCTTCCTCACTGCCCCATACATACTTTTCTTCAAGAAAAAGATGTTTCCCTTGACAATTTCCTCAGCCTCAGAGATGAAGATAGCTTTCAGGCCAGCAATTTTCATGGCCACCAAGTGTGCTGTTATTAGCCCACCCACTTCAGCCCTTTGTTTCTTTGAGCAATTGGTTCCAGACACTGTATTTCCATCCAAAGAGAMTTCTCTCCCTCTGGGATTGCACAGGGACTATTTGTTCTGCACAGCATTGAGCTACGTAGAGATACCAGCTCACATACGGGGAGAAGTCCAGCTGTATCAGCTCTCAATTTCCTCATTTCTCACTTGGTTTTCAGATATCTCTGCACAGCATTGCATTGGGCTACATGAGCAGGCCCCAAAATGACTTGCTATTTTGTGCAGGGAAGAAGCAGCAGCCTAATAAAAGGTTGTCAAAATCTCTCTTTCATTTCAATAGCATGTAGGCCCCACTAACAGCCCACCAACCTTAATCTGTTTGCATACCGATTTCACTGTTGTCAGCTATGTGCATTACTAATGCTGTGTCCCTCGGGGCTTCAGGAGATTCATTTTGCAAGGTATGTTGTGCATGCTTAGCCTCTTTCAGTTTGACAATGGGCAGTCACTAATGTCCTTTATTTTGTTTCTGTACTTTATTTAAAAATGTAGGCTAATTCAAAACTGGTGGACCAGGAGAAAACTACGACAAGAGTATGGCACACAGAGGAAAACCAGTTTCCCACAGTGGGAAAAGGACTACAACCTTCAGCCTATGAATGCTTATGGACTCTTTGACGAATACCTAGAAATGAGTATGACACTGACCACATTTTTCTCTCTTTTGCTAGATTTTAACCTTTTTGTTGATGTTGAGGGCTGTTGTATTCTTTTAACTAATGCTGAATTAAGCTTATGAGGCTACAAAATGATAATCATTCTCATAAGTCAGGTGAGGAATGGGAGTGAGTTTTTAAGGAACAAACCAAATCAATATAGCTAACCACACTGCTTCTCGTTTGCTAACCTCACATTTATGAAACCCTTCTGAGTGTTGATGACTTCTGGCTTTGTGAAGGCAAGGCTGTTTTCCAAATTGCTGCCCACCTCTTTGCTTGTGTACGCTTCTACACAACTTTGCTSGGTTTTGCTCAGGCAAATTCCCTTGGACTCCTATTTTTCAGCTGTGTGGCACAGGGCTATATGCTTGTTTATGTTTAAAATTGTCACTATTTGCTACCTCACATTTACAAAGTAGCTTGCTGCTGAAAGATCTTGCTTAATCCAGAGAAGAGGAGAGGATAAATTATGTAAGAAATGTTAGAGAATAAGAATTTTTGCCTTATGTGAGTGACCTGCACATGCCATGAACAGTTTTTTTCTCTATTCTTTTTAAATTAATTTAAAGTCTGACAGTCTGAGAATTTTACAAATTTGCCTGAGTGGTTTCAAATGACTGCCCATAACTGCACTGCAAAAAGAARTGTATTCAGCTCTTAGCTTTGCAGGTACTAAGAGATCCTAGCTGAGGCTGGAGTAAAAATATTCATTCCCTAAAAGTGCCACTCTTTGACCTCCAATCTTCTCTCCAAATTACAAAATGTAAATGTGGCCCTTTCTCCAGACAGATGCACATTTGTGCTATCCTCCTGGCTCTGAATATTTGGAAAAGAAATGTTGTACAAGAGTCACTAGATGATTATATAGTGCAGAATAAGGTGAAATTTTATATATATCATCTTCCCCATATAATGCCTTGGTATCTTAGACTTTGGGACAGAATCTCAACAATTATGATCATTATGATCATTCCTTTCTTTTCTAGTTCTTCAATTCGGGTTCACAACCATTTTTGTGGCAGCTTTTCCACTGGCACCACTTCTGGCCTTACTTAACAATATTATTGAAATTCGGCTTGATGCATACAAATTCGTTACACAGTGGAGGAGACCTTTAGCCTCAAGAGCCAAAGATATAGGTGAGCACTGCGTACATGTGTGTATGTGTGAGCATGCACGCATGCATGATGTGGGAGCACATGTGCCTGCGTGTGTGTGTGTTGTGTTAAATTTAAGGCAAAGCACTGATCGCTTCAAGCAAGAGTGATTTAAGCTTACTCCCCTTTTTTACTCTCAGCCTGCTCCCCCTGTTTAGGCTCAGACTTTCTGGACCTGCTTCCCTCAGGCCTACTCTGAATGTTTACCCTCAAGCCTATTCCCCATTTTTACCCTCAGGCCTACTCCTACTGTCTACCCTCAGATTTACACGACCTGTTTACCCTCAGGCCTACTTGACCTTTCARTTGCTTCAAAAGTCACCTGGATGCGACCCTACGCTACGTACTTTAAGTGTCCCTGCTGGAGCAGGGAGGTTGGACTAGGTGATCTCTAGAGGTCCCTTCCAAACTCAATCATTCTGTGATTCTGTGATTCTCCAACTGTCACTGTGACACTCCGTCACTGTGAGCCCATGCTGCAGAGCTGTAGGTCGGTTCACACTGGGCCCAAAATGCCCAGGTCATGCCTAGGCTCTCAGTGTGCCATTGCCCATGCACATTTACATTATTGGCATGACATGACWGTATGGATACAGACAGAAACTCTGGGTACCCAAGGTCTCTACAAACACAGGCAGACAGAATTGCATGTGCTGTCATGTGGCAAACTCTCCTCCAAGCACAAGCAGGGAGGCCTCATAAACCATGAGGTTTACAGCTTTTCTTAAAGCTACTCACAGTGGTTTGTTTGAGTGAAGGTCTCCATGAGCAGGTTTTTTTCTGGCTTCAGTCCTTTCATGGGAGTAGAAATAGGGTTCCTTGAGGTCCTGCAGCTTTACATGGAAGATTATTTTTACTCAGTAACTATCTAATTGAAACTGTATTAAAATAATAAAAAGAGAGAGAGAGAGAGAGTTGGGACAACTACTTCAGATCATGTAGTATTTTAAGAACTTTTGTCCTTGTTTCCCTGAAGCTAATGTACTCTGTTTTTTTTGCACAGGAATCTGGTATGGGATCCTGGAAGGCATTGGAATTCTCTCTGTTATCACAAATGCATTTGTTATAGCTGTGACGTCYGATTTCATCCCTCGACTTGTTTATGCTTACAAATATGGACCCTGTGCAGGCCAAGGAGAAGCTGGGCAAAAGTAGGTTTTTCTCTGGGAAAGTTACTGTGCATTAAAATTACTGCCTCCTTGAATATATGTAGCGGTATTCTCTGTGTATGTACAGGCAAACCAAAATTTATTGCTTGTACATAGGTAACAGATATTAGTCCAGGTATTGACATATTGTATATTCATAGTATGAGTTGCCTAGGTAACTRTAATTTATTAGACTAATTCAAGGAAAACTTGGCAGAACCATTAGAGAGATTTGGTGTGTGTAATAGTATGCTATTTCCATCCTTGATTCCCACTTGTACTTCCCAGCTGGTGGACATGGATATAACCCTCTTTAGTTATGAGGCAGTAMTGATGTTCATCAGATATGGATTTAATCAACATTTTAAATTTATTCATTAAACTTTTTTTTTCCTGTTGTGATACGCAGTATGCATTGCTTTGAAAAGCAGTGTCTAATAAAAAGTAATTCCCAACCAATAAATTAAGATATAGTTACAGGATGAAGTAATCTGATTTTCTGCTAAAACTCGAGTCTCTCAGATTAAAACTTTCAGGAGACATTTTGGGACTGAATCCCTGCTTCCTTGGTGGCTTTTCTCTCTGTGTGGGTAAGCCCTGAGGCTGGGCCAGGGTGTGCACACCTGCCGGCAAGTGGCAGCATAGCTGCCACGTGGCAGCTTTGAATACCTGGTCTGTTGGGCTGCAGGAAGGCCACTGATTCCAGCCCAGCCCACACCGACACTGCTTACAATTCATCTCCTAGCCACTCTGCTAGTAAGGACCCTAGTGTTAAAAGAAAGAGTAGAGAGAGTGCTTATGTTTTGCTATACCAGATTGATTTTTTTTTTCTCTACCAGATTGATTTTTTTTGTCCTCTGCTATAGAAAGTGGCTTCTTTTGTGGCTGCTTTTAGCTGTCAAAATTTTGACTGTTACTATTGTTTAATTTTATCGATAGAAGAAAGGCACTTCCTGGCAAGGCAGTTCCTAATCAGTAGAGCTGCCAACCTTAGGACAGCTTGCTGTCCTAAGAAGAGTCTAGTAATTTTAGTAGGTGGTATGAGGCAATATTCCATTTATTTTCATAAGGAGTTAGAATCTCCTCACTGGTCAAGTGTTTGATCCAATGCCAGTCATTCCTCAGCATGTGTTTCCCTTTGTGCCTTTACAAATTTCCATAAGACATTGAGTCACTATCAGCAATTTTACTGCGCTATTGATTTTCTCAGGACTACTGTGAAAAAGCAAAAAGTTTTTAAAATGTTTACTTTTATAAAGAAGCAAATATGAAGCATAAGGGGGAGTAAGCATAGGGGAAGTAGTTTGGCTCAAGGAGAAAGCTGTTGTCATCTTAGAAACATCTTGTACATTGTGTTTGCACATCTTTGACATTTTCCTAAGTGAGCTACTCRTTTAAAATGATAATCTCTGGAGGAATCAACTTGGAAAGAAATTTTTTTTTTTATCACTGCGTAACTTAAATGAAGGAGGTGGAAAACATTTGTGGGTGTTAGACCCATGTGATACAGAGATACACACTAATACTATTTAAAAAAAGGTAATTAATTTAAATACCAAATTAGAATAGATCCTTWAAAAAATGCATTTTGGTTTGATGTAGGAGGCCTGGCCTTATACTGCTGTCATTATAATCCAGCAGTACCAAAGCAGATAGAAAGTTCCAATCTCCCTGACTTAGTTTTTCCAATTGTTGTGCCAGAGGTTCAGAAAGTTGAAAGTGAATGGTTCTCCATTGATATGAGATTTGCTGTTCAGTAATAGTAAGAATTCTACATTCCTTGTGAAACTATGTTTAAATGCTATGTGGCTTTGACTTAAAAAAAACATATAGACTGATTTGGAATTTAACTTAAAGGATCATTTTAGGCCACCTAAGATTCTTGGTACCCCTAGCAGTTCTTGGCAGGACATAACTAGCTTTCACACTTGCCATTAAACTGTTTTTCAAGCATGGGTTGCCTCACCCAGAATTCCTCCAAGCTTGTCTTAGATACTTGTCCAAATACCTGGAGGATGGCTGCTGGAGTCCAAGCACTGTGTGAGAGGTTTTTGTTTAATGGATGTTTGAGAACTACTTTCTGTTGCAGCCTTAAACAGATCATTTTCCTGCCTCTGTAAGTCAGAACTGCCTGGATATTTAGAAGCTGCCCTTGTGCTCCTGCTTTGTGCAGTACTCACCATTTGGGTTCAAATACTATACTTGCAGAGTATGCAGTGTATCATATGGAATAGTTTTGTGAATAGGCTAGGTTTTATCTGATCATTTTTTGTGTGTGTTGGAAAATAGGTTTAAACATCTTTTTGATTAGCTCAGTTCAGCATAACWGTTAGGAGAGCAGAGCTAGCTTTGTTCCCTCCTTCCTTCTTCCTGTCTTGAAATCTGGCAACCTTGTGTAATGCCACAGGTGTTCCTTAAGTTGTATATTTGAAGATGGTTTGGGTTAAATACCCCAAATACTCAATTCAACTGACTGAAGAATTCAAACTTTCTCAGTCTCCCTGCTCTGCCCAGAGCAGGGAGCCTAGACTTACCCAGGCTTGGAGCTGTGCAGAAGGAACAGCACAATATTCTTCCCTCAACTTCATTAACACTGAATTTGAGCTTCTTAGTGACTCTCCAGCCCTTTGTCAGGCGTTATGCATTCTCTAGTACCTAGTGTTCTGCAAACCTTTGTCTCTGAATGCTCAGTCACACTGAAACCTTTCAGTACTGAGTTCCTTTGATTAACTGGACATTTTGGAGAAGAAAAAAWATGCCCAGTTATTTCCATGAGCTGTTTTAAATCAATCACTTCTCCATCTAATACTTGTCCTTTGTGTTTGTATTAGGAGAGTAACAGTGGAAATATTCCAATTATCTTCCTAGTACCACTCACTCCTTTTCCTACTGTGTCAGCTTCCAGTAATCTCTTTTCTAAGGTAGTCAGTTTCTTTAGTCTTTCTTCTCCCATAAAAGTCTGCCATTGCTTCCCTTTTATGGTTTAGCTGACCCACTTCAGTGCTTCTGTTATGTTACCTCAACAACTTTTTCAAATATTAATAAGTGTCACAGTTAACTATGGATTTTGTGAAACCCAGAAAACATCCTCCTGGGTACAGTAGTTAATGGGAAAACCTTGCTGTGCCCTGACTGTCCAGGACTTTTTTCTTCTCTAGGTGTATGGTTGGCTATGTTAATGCCAGTTTATCTGTATTTCTGGTGTCTGACTTTGAAAATCGTTCAGAGCCAACATCAAATGGAAGTGAATTCTCCGGTTCACCATTAAAATATTGCAGGTAAGCATCTCATTAAAACACCTCTCTGCTTATAAGGCACTGTAAGGGAGAAATATCAGGATACATTTTGAACTTTGAAAAAAAAAAGGTAACAGAAAAAATAAAAGTGTAATATTCAATACACCCTAGTGATACTGGTCGAATATTACTTGCAGGATTCCTTTCTTTCAACTGAGGGAGAAGGTGAAAAATGGGTATCTTGCAGGTGTTCAGGATTTGAATGAGGTTATGGGATGAATCAAACACAATTCATATTATCATGGGGATAATATGGTACCACAGGGCTAATAATAGTTGCCTATGGTTACTTAGCTACCAGTGAGTTGAAACTGCCATCAGGTTACAACATAACCCATACACAATGAAGCCAAATTGCCCAGGAGTGACCACACTGAATCATTTCACAGGTCTGTCTAGCCTAAATAGTGCCAATCCTGAGCTTGCTTGAGAAGTCCAACATCTCTTATCCACTGAATGGTTAATGTGTTTTTATGCTTGCTTGTGGGTGTCATTTTTAGTAATAATCATATACTTCTGGTCATCTCAGCTTGCAGATTGGACAAATAGCTGTCTGGAACAAGCTTGTAATGAGAGGCCTAAGCAACCAATTAATATTAATGGGCCAAAGAATTAAGAATCTACATAAAGCTCTTAAATGAGATCTCCTTCAAAAAATACCAAATGACAAATATACCTACTATTTTTCTGTTGCAGTGTTGGTTTACCAGCATGAGTCCTGGTAGCTGCAGATTCTGATCACTCTCTCCCTTTCTTTCCCAGCTTCAGGCATTGACTTGCTGCCACTCAAAGCCAGTGGTAGAAATCCCATTAATGAATGCAAAAGTTGTTCTCTCAATGTCCCATACATGGAAGACTTAAAATTGGTGCCCCAAATCTCTAGAAGATAAACCTGTTCTTTGGAGGTACACTGAATTCGATGTATACCTACCCATGATAGAAGGTGTCTGTCTTTCTCTAGCTGAGTTTTTCAGCTGCTTAACCCATCTGAATTCTGCTAAAATTTCAGTCACTTGAGCTGTACTTTAAGATAGATATTGATAAGGAAGGAAATACTTGTATAAATGTAGGCATGTTTCCAGGAAGGGCAGTCTATCAGAAYCCCAAAAAAGTGACCAGTATTCTAATGCTTGGATTCAACACAGATGTTCCTGGGCTGTTCTGGTTGTTTATGAAGGTTTATGAAGGTATTTCTGTATGTGCAGTACTTGGTTCCTGACAAATTCAAAAATATGAGACACTCTGCTGAATTGGGACCTGAGCCAAGGGCTTAAGTTATGTGTTGCAGTTATGAAACATCCTAAACTTTGAAGTCAGCATGCTGACTGCTGAGAAGATCATCTCAAATTTAAGGACTTGCACTGGAAATAATACAATTTAAGAAAAAAATGTTACTGACTAGGATCCCAAAATGCAGTTTATTTTATTTCATATAGCACCTTCTGAAATTTCAGAAGGTGAGACTTAAGGGGGAAAAATAGATTAACTCTCATAAAGATGAAATTACTGTTTATTTCTTTTGCTCATCTGAGTTTTCTTTAGTTTCTTAYAACTGACTTAGTGATCAAGCTTTAGTATATTATTTACCATGGCATTTTCATTACTGTTTATAATGGATTTTACATCCCGCGTAGGAAACAAACAAATAATGAATTTCCCACTACTTTTAAATTAAGTTTCTACAACATTATTTTGGAATTACAACAGTGCTAATAAAAATGGGCTCCAGAATGGTCAAATTTTCCTGATTCATAATTTGTCCATGTAGTTTTGGGGTTCTCGTGGACCCAGCTTTCACAATCGACATCTCTTAGTACTCTGTTGAGACCTGAAGTCTTTAAAGAACCATCCCGTGAGCCAAGGCACTAGATCATTTTCTGACACAGGCTCACAGGCTTTGCCCTCATGAGGTAGGTAGTGTGATGTGCTCCATTATGGTCAGAATCAGTTCCCCTAGGATTTGGGTGCCTGGACTTCAGATAGAGACTTCAGTAGAGCTTCTCATGCTTTATTCTAGGGATAGTACCTATGGGTCTTGGGAATGTGCTTCAGTGCTTTAAGATGTGAACCAAAGTGTGGCAAGTGGAGATGATGAGGATATTTGCTTAGCATTGTTAAAATAAAACACTAGCATAGGTGTAGCCTAAGAAATAAGCAAGAGTTTTGGTGATTATCCAGTGTGAATAGAGATTATTTTGGTGCTAGAAAGATACAGATAATGAGCGATGGGGGTTTGATTTGCTCCTGCTCTTAGGTAGCAGGCTGGGAACTTGCTAAGTACTGTGTTCTGTTTGTCTCCCAGGTACAGGGACTACCGAGACACTCCTCACTCCGCTGTGCCCTATGGTTACACGCTGCAGTTCTGGCATGTCCTAGCAGCACGGCTGGCTTTCATCATCGTATTTGAGGTCAGTGGCCATTCCACTGGAAAGTATTTTTGCTGCTCTGCTGTAACAAAAACAAAACAAAACAAAACAAAAACAGATATCCATTTGAAACTTTTCCTTTAGGCCCAACGGGGATGGTAGTAGTTGAGCTTTTCCTGTAAGTTTCTGATATGTTATCATAGTTTGTATCTCCCATTCTGTTTTCTGAAGAGTATTTCAGTTCTAAAAACTAAAAACTAAAAGGTGAACACTTCAATAAAACTCACAAAGGAAATAAAAGCATCACTTCCCATATTTGCATATCACCATTATAGTTTTCATTCGAATTCTGTGTTGGCTGGGAAGCTGTATGCTCACAACTGAGTGAGTAAGGGATGAAAGAACATGAGAATAAAGGATGAAATTGGAAGAATTTAAAAATGGAGATTGTGGSCTTTTTTTAGATGCTAAAAATAATGCTATTATATTAGTACGTACTGTCAGTATCTCAGAAATATTTAAGACAAGCCAGATACAAGTCAGCATCAAATAACACGTAACGAATGGTGATTCAGAAAAAGAGAGAGAGGAAGGAAGAACAAACTGAGGTCATTTCCCAACCAAAATGCAACTCCCGAGGCTTGGATTTCTGATGCTTGAAAATCCACATTTTCTGTCAGAAACAAGGTGTTCAGCATCCCTCCAGCATGAGCAGTGTGAAATGCCTTATAAGCTGTGAAGAAGCCAAACAGAGAACAAACAATTTTTGAAGTCTGTCCTCCTTTCTGAAGCAACTAGGACTTCCAACTCAGATATAGAAGTTGTAATCACCATAACTTATTGGCATACCTTTTATGAGCACATATTGTGTTTCTGACTCAAATACTGTGTAAATTCATTCTGACCTGGGATTTCAAAACACCTCTTTGAATTGCAGAACGGAAGTATCTGAGTTGGAGGGAAGGTGAGGAGCCAACTTTTTCTTTGCAACACAGCTGAAAGAAATGATGAGTATTTTGCAGTATCATTTTTGTATAGAAAGCAGTTCATCCCGTTACCAGAGGGATATTCATTCCTAACAACCTTTGAAGAAGTGAATCAGATTGTACTCCTCTCTGTGTCATCCCATAGCGTATCACCCTCTACAAATACTGTTATTCACCCATTTAGGCATGAGCTTCAGGACACAGAAAGGTTGGGTGTCAGAAGCAGCCTAACTTCATGAATATATAGTGCTGTACTGTAAYTTGCTGTACTCGTATGATATATCTGTACTGATGTGGTATGTCAGCAGGTGTATCAGTGTTTTTTGCTTGGCACTGTCTTCCGCAGGTGTTAGGAGGGATCTGCTTGGCTCTTCCCCTTACTCTTTTGCAAAAAGGCAACATGACAAAGACAGATGGAAAACCATGACTGAGATGGCACAAACTGAGCTGTGTGCCATGGGTAGACAGAGAAGCGTTTTCTGAAACAGCAGGAATACGAGGGCATGCCAAGGGCTTCCTAGGACTGCTAGAGATGGGACTACAGCACCATGATTGGAGCTCAGGAAGTGCCACTTGTTATTGACATAGATCATTTTCAGACCAGTGGGCCTTGGGGAATATGGATTTGCTGACGTAGGGCTGGGGCATCCCACCCAGAGCTCTTGATCCTGCTCCATACATGTCAATCTCCAGACATCCCAAGGCCTGTGGATTTCCACAGTTTACTGGGTGCCAAGAGTTATCAGTGGCTGCTAGGAGACCTTTGTATCTCTCACTCACAACAGGCCTCTGTGGCTTTCCCTCTTGGTAAGGAGGAAAAAAGAAAGGAAAATCATAGGGAGGCCTCATGTGTTTGCTCTCTTGGTTGTTTCAGAAATAAAAACAATTGGACAATTGTAGCAGAAAACAAACTTGTCTTTATCTACAGAGAAGACTAATGGTTTTTTTCCTTTTTTTTTTTCTTTTTTTGTGAGTGTTATACCTATTACAGTAGAAGATTTCCCAATTAGATAAATAGTTCAAGGTATTTCTTTCAAAAATTTATATATTAGCTCAGCTCAGGCACTCCCTGGCTCTGAGCAATGTGGTAGTGATTATTGTGGCCTAGTTCATATGCAAAGGTGAATCACTTTTAAAGGAATTATTTGYCCAGGCTTAAATAAGCATTCTTTGATGATCCTAAGACTGAAGAAACTTTTTTTTTAATATATTTTTTATTTTTAATTGGGCAAAAGAACAGCAAGTTAGACTTTGCTGCTTCTTTCTCTTGAGGGCAAAGTGCATAGAAAAACATCATGTTTTCTCTCAAAGGAAAGATTTGGATTGGACAAGAATGAATATCTTTATTTCTTCTATCTGGAATGAGTGTCTAATCCCATCTTGCTGAGATGCAGGATTAGTCTCTTTTTCTATTCTTCTTCTCAAATAAAATGAGTAAATGTTCAGAATCTTTTAGGAAAAAAAAAAAAGAGAGACTCAGGCAATCCCATCCCACTCGAGCTTTGCTATGGCATGCCTAAAACATGAGGTACAAAAGATCAATTAATTAAGATTAATTTGTATTTAATTTGGATGTTTAGTAAACATGAGTGTGGGTTTTGGTGAGGTTTGGAGTGTAAGAGAACTGCTGTTCTTTATATGGATAGTTCACTGGTTTGAATATTCACACAAAGATTTTGTGAAAACAAGAACGTGTTATATCCCTTGGTCCACTGTAGAATGCTCCACTAATGCCAGGTTCTTCCCATATGAGTCAACTGCAAAGACTGAGCACAAGGGTTTGAACACACGGAAGGCAGAACAACTGTGGGACCTTATGTGGGCCTGGCCGCCCTTGGCCTTTGCTGAGGTCCACAAGCCAAAGCCTTCAACTGGAGTCTTGGTGGGAAAAAGCTTCAGGATTTGTTTTCTTCAAATTTAGTAATGGGCTTAGTTCTGACACAGCATCTGTGTGCGTGTTGAAAGGAGATGATGTTCAAGAGAAATAGAAAACACTTGTTTTCTTCCTGAGCATAKATTCATTTTCCACCCTTTTGTTTTCACAGCACCTTGTCTTTTGCATAAAGCACGTGATTTCCTACTTAATCCCAGATCTCCCGAAAGATTTAAGAGACCGAATGAGGAGAGAGAAATACCTGATTCAGGAAATGATGTATGAAGCTGAACTAGAACGTCTGCAGAAAGAACGGAAGGAAAGGAAGAAGAACGGAAAATCTTATCACAATGAGTGGCCGTGATGGGGTGAGGAAGGAACTGCTTAGGGAAAAATAAGCATTACGCTCATTAAAATCTCTTTTTGCTCTATACTAGAAAGTGCAAAGCAAAAGAGGAATAGTTAGTGAATGCTGTGTGCCCTTAGCACATGTCTGTTCATATTTAATATGGTGCACATATTACTTAAGTGTTTTGAAATTAGAGGTCTTACAGGTGTAGTCTTCTCCAAAGCTGTCAGAATGAGCAGATCAGACTAATCCTTAAGTCCTTGCACTATTTCCAGGAAACTCTTAGACCAGTTTGAAGTCCAGGCCTAAATATCGAAGTAGTTACATATATTACAGTGTTTTACACAGCTTAGTGCTTTTGTGGCTCCTTGTCTCAATGGCCATTTATTTGGAAATGTTATCCTGAAAGGTTGGGGGGGGGGGGGGAATTTAAAGGTTTGAACAGTGCTGGTAAATCTACAGAGGCTGTAAGAATGAGATTTGTCCAAAAGGGGCCGCTGTCAGTAACTGACAGGTCTAAAAGGGCTTCTTGAACTGACAGATCATACCTACTTTCTTTTGCCAACTGTTTAGTATTAAGGAATGAGAAATTTCCCAGATCATTAAGCCAAAATAATGGAACTGTAAGCCTGAAGATGGCAGAAGTGTTGGATGAGGCAGTATGTATCAAAATGTGCTGGTTGAGCATTGTGAAAGCTCTACAGCCTCTTGCCTCAAAGTGATAACACTGCAATTCCTGCAGAACACAAAGCAACATAATTGGCCACAATATGAAGGAACCTCTAAAGCCAAGGATGTAGGAAGACAAGTGGAAACATATGTCCTGCTGAGATCCAGCAAAATAAAAAATAAAGGAGTTGATCTCCTAACCTTTTTTACAAATAACCAGCGCCATAAACTGTATAATTTTAACATAAATCTGAAGTAAGTTCATTCATTTAAAGGGATTACTTCTTTCCACTGCAAGGTAGAATTGTGGAAGATTTTAATGATAGGTAATATTGCTTGGCAAAAAAAGGGACCAGAAGGAAACATATTCTACCTCATCTCTCTAGCCACTGCACTTTGCTTTCTCACAGCCAGGAGCCTCCTGCAGTAGTGATCTGTTTTCCTACATGAAGAGGATAAATAATGGCACAGCAGTTGCCTTTATCAGTGCTCCTGGCCCAAACCTCCAGTTCCCATGGAGCAGCATAGTCACTGAGGGAATGGCAGGATGACTCTGCTTTCCATTGACCACCTGCCAAAATGAATGGGAAATCCAGCTGATGGTCATGGGTTGTGTTCCTGTATGAAGAGCAAGTGAACTTGTTTGCTAGTCTTTGCCTCAGCTTAGAGCAGCTATGGGCACTGCCCATGGGGACAGCAAGAAAAGGGGGATATTTCTGCCTCTGTAGATGTCATCCTTTGACATAGGGTAGGTCAGTAGGTCCCACCCACAATCTACAGGTGCACATGCAGTCTGGGTTCTCTTAGGCACCATCATGTAAAATCACATCCAAGCCAAACTCACATGCAGCTGGCTTATTTTACATACCCTATGTTTAATAACAAGGATAATAGATGACAACAGCTAGGTAGTTTCCTAGGCAGTAAAATGAGACATAAATCATATGTAGAATCAGTGTTGCCCCTTGGAATTTTAGCCTTTCCTAACTCCTGCAGCAAGACATGTCTTTGTCCATGTAATCTCTCTAATTTCTAAGATCTGAAACAAAATGTATTACAAAGTAAACTGACCTCCACTTCTGAGGAACCGCTGCAATCTAATGTTCCAAAAGCGCAGCAAAAGTACAATAGATAATAATTGCTTTGGAGACTAGTTTTCAATATAGCTACATTCTGATGAATTTTGATAATATTGCATTACTAAAAGTTGTGTCAGATTCGTTTTCTCTGGATGCTGAATATGATACTGAAAGAGCYTCTGACCTTCCTGACACATCCTGAGTCCATTTCTGTGGCTCAGTGGTGACCAGGCAACTCAGAGATGTTTCTGTGCAGCTACTCTGCAAAACCGATATGGCCTTTGTCCATCCAAGTTATGTAGCTGAACACTAAGGAGAGATGACCCCTTTTTATTTAAGTTTCATTAGCAAATTGTAAAACAAGTAATAGGCTAGTGATAATAAAGGGAGATTTAAAGGCCTCTAGCTAGCCGCTTTATACAGGGCCCATATTTCTGATCTGATGTTTGGTTTTGTTTAAACCTCCAGGTGATGGTCCTATATATTGTTTACTTATTCCCACTCCACAAGAGCACTACGTTCAAGAGAATGAGAGAAAATGCAACCTCAAAGCATGCCACAGACATCTTCCATAGCAAGCAGGACAGCTCACATCAAAGAATTTACTGTGAAATCATCTTGCAATCAGCATAGGATTGATCACCATAGACTACTCTTGACAGGAAGCATGTACTTAATAAGCAATTAAACACCAGTTTTTAAAACCAAGGGAAAAACTGTATATTGGGGCTGTTTTTCAGCCTGTTTGCTACATTTTTTGCATTCTGTCCAGTGCTGGTTTTACAAGTCTTAGAATAACAAATGTAAATGAAAAACCTGGATACTCTGACAAAAAGAAAGCCTAGGTATATAACATCGTCTGCTTTCAAGCCACCGAAAACTGAAACTTTGTTTCAAAATAAGTTCTTTTTTTTATTTCCAAACTTTCTGAGGGGATTTATGTTATTTACCATATATAATATATATATAAAAGTATATAGAGAGATTGTTTATTTGTAAATATAAAAATCCTATGGAAAGAATGTCAAGTTTTCACACTTAAAAAACATCAACACAAAGCCATGTTTAATGCTTGTATAATGCGGCACAGTAAACTTGAAAATAAATCATGCATATGAAATCTTTGCTGTTTGGCTTTCATGAAATACTTTCTCTATACCTTATCTTTTCAGAAGGCAGGAAGATTAGTTCAGTTAAAGCAAATGTAAATGCAGAATAAAAAGGACCAAGATCCAGTCAGTACCTTCTCACTGCAAATTCTCTGCATGCTCACATTGCCAGATGTTGGGAGGATTGTATTTTAGCTCATTTTAATATTCTTACATGTTTTCTCTCCTGACTACTGGATGCTATGTGTAATTTATTTCCATGAAATTAATAGACCTTCAGCATGTTCTCCTTTGTGAGATGARCTTCTAGGTGGAATATATAAGGGATCAGGATGGAGGAAACATTAAGAATGATCTTGCTGCTTTCTCTCTGTCAAGCCCTTGGCTGTGGGCCTTAGCTAGAAGAGGACACTAAAAGGTCCCAGAGAAAATGTCAAAATTAAGTGCTTTAATTAGTAATGTCAATTAAAAAAAAAAAAAAAAGGAGAATTTATTGAAAGAAATCAAGTAGGAGTCTACAGCTCTACCGCAATTCTGGAAGGTTTAATAGCAAGAAATGGGATAATTCCTAGAGTCCTTTACAAAGTTCAAGGATGTTTGTCTCTAAAACTTCTAAAGCAGCATATTTTTCCCAGGAAATATTCAGCTTGATGGTGGACCAACAGATGGTGGACTAACAGCTAGACATGTGGCGCAAACTGTCACTTTATACCAAAATCAGCACTAAATGACTGTTCAGTGCTTAATTGTTTGACAGAAAATCAAACTTTAAGATACTCATTTATGTGCTTTCCCAGTTTTAATAACTTATGCAAATAATTATGCAAAAATATGGGGAAAAAATGCTGCAACATTTTTCTTAACTATGATGCCTGGGAAAATTAGCCTTCCATGCACAAAAGAATAACAGGTGGAAGTCACAAGTCATTCAAGACAGTTTAATGCGGTTTCGATTATTGTGCAAACAGTGATCACAGTACAGAGCAGTGCAGTAAAGAACAGAGTGATGCTGTTTTATAGGAACTAGGAGCTGGTAATGCCCACTCACCCTGGGATGCACACTCAGGTGAGAGATCAGCATGAACGGAGTGTGGTGTGAGCACCGTAGCCCTTACTGGTGGGCACAGAGGCTTCTGTCTTGCTCTGTGCCACAGAGCAGAGGCACACGACAGTGCTTTACATCACGTTTTGGTGCTCTGAAGCATAGCAGATAGCCTAGTATTTGCCCTTTCCCAGGCCTGGGGGCTGGTTAAGTACAAGTTATTTTACTCCARTGTTCAAGAATACAAAACACAGTGACTGTTCCGGGAGTGTCATGGAGAYAGGACCCGCAGGACCCGCGGCTGGATGTGTTGCACTTGCCCTCCTCCAGCATGGGAAGCAAACAGGCCCAGAACAGAGGCCCCTGTCCTGCATCCCAGAAGACTTTCCTCTGGATGCAGCTCTTGCCTCAGATCTCCCATATGAGGAACACAAGGCACAAGGGATCTGGTCTGTAATTCTCCAGAAGAAGTCAGCCTCTTGGACCTCATTTTCACTTCCTCATGTTTTCTGGTCCTTCAGCTCATCTCATGCTATAGATCATGAAGTGCCACTTGTCACAGGGGCACAGGATATCTCGATTTCAACACTGAACCAAGTCAGAGCTAGAGAAACTAGCACTAAGTCCTGCTCCAAGCCACAGTGCCTTGGGGTCTAGAACAGCCTCGGCACCACCTTTGCAAAGGATTTAAGACACGCAGTCAGTGATTGATTTGGGTCTCAAGCGAGCTGCTTTATGAGCTGCACAGGTTGGCTTTCTTGCAAAGGCATTTGTGTTCCCAAGTCACTCAGCTTCCTTAGAGGAGTTTCAAACACCCAYGTGCAGTTGCAGCGTAAGGCCTACTGTACAAGCAGCAGGGCAGCTCTGCTACCCGCCACGCCAGTGAGCACACAGTGCGAGGAAGCTTTGGGAGCCTGCACCCTCCTCAGCAACAGAAGTCTGTGGTTATGGGGAAGGTGCCATACGGCTGCCTGGCCAAGAGGAGCTGTCCTCTCTTTGCAGCTTGGGAACAGCCTTCCCAGACTACCCGCTCTGTGGGCGCTTCCCCTTCCTGGGAAAGGGCCCAGTGGATTCGGCCGCCTGCCGAAACACAAGATGGCTGCTGGCCTAGTGTGAACAACTGTGATGGCCGCACCTGAATCAGGGRCCAAACGCACTCAGTGGCTGTGCAAGGTTTTAGCATAGGGCTCTGCAGGTGGCAGCAGTGGCACTGCAGGTGCCACCACCTTCTCCTGGCATGGCAAAGAGACCATTCATCCTCCATTAACAACCCGATACACCTGAGCCCAGCCTGTGCAGGAGTGGGCACTGGGCAGCGCTTGGGGCATGACGTGACTGCTATGGATCTGCTACATGGATCTCAATAAAAAGGCCAGATACAGCTCACTTCCACTGTGAGGACCAGCTCTGTATAGGTAAGACAGAACAGAAGAGTGAGGAAGAGAATGAAACGAAGGATATTATTGACTCTCGGCTCCATYCATTTGGAAAGGCACTCTTGTATCTCCCAGGAGGGAGCAGAAAGGAGGAGATGCAGGCACTCTGAGAATGAGCAACTTAATGACAACAAAAATACACAAAATCAACAAAATAAATACTTTCTCAGCACAGCATCAATTTTACAAAGCAGCCAGATAGCACAAAGTATAAACCCCTGCATTTTAGAAAAACCTTTCTTTCCTCCAATCTGATAAGATCTTACAGTACTAATCTTCTCATACTTTCGATGCCTTACAGAGACAAACAGCCATTTCTGGAGGAATTCTGTGATCTTACAAAAAAGAGAAAATGCTCTGTGAACTGAGACTAAAAGACATTTTTCATGAGGCTCAAGAACTGGGGGAAGCATTTCACATACTTAGAAACAAAAAAAGGGCCTTAAGCCCTTTTGCAAAGATCCCAAGAGACAAGGAGAGCAAGAAAGACCTGATTCCTCTCTTGACATGTTCTTAATGTCAAGGTCACRCAAGGGTGACAGTGCCACAAAGCTCTACAGAGATTTCTGCCCACAACCCCAGCAGCGATAGTAACTGATCAATCACAAGAATGTCAGCAATGCTTTTAATATATGAGCAGAACTGTCCTCATGGGCTGGCATGGCCCCATGTCATATATGAAGGTCATTGGCTTTGTCCTTATTGTCCGAGTCCTTCATTTCCATTCGGCTGAAAGCAGGATTGTCGGCTCCCTCAGATGCCGGGGAGAAGGGTTTCCAGTTCAACACTTTTACTCTCTCCTGCTAAAAAGCAAAGACAGAAACCACGTGAAGTGCAGGAAAGAGCCTCCTTCTCTTTGATCTGCATGCAAGCTGAGTCAGGTCCAACGTGCACAGCTAATTAGGAGGTCTGGCAGATAAACATAYGTTGCAGCCAGAGCATCAATAGTTACTCACTGCAGTAGCTGTTATTTTTTTAGAGGCATGGCAAAACTGTTATCGCATATTGTTACTAGTCATGTAAAATGTTTTTTTTCATGTAAAATATTCTTGTCTTGTAAATTATGCCTAAGGCTTTTCTGAGTGTGCAAAGTTGTAACTGCCGGCCTGTAATTCCGGCCTAGCGATCTGTCACCACTGGACCCACAAGCTCTTGTTCGCYAACCCTTGATCCTTGAATCGTCTTCAACATGAAAAGCAGATTAACACACACTGCTGCTTTTATGCACTATCTCTGTTAAACATATTGAGAGGTTGAGCTCTTCATGTACAGAAAGTCTCAGTTGCCCCTCTTTCTCTTTGAACAACAACTTTCTGAATCAGTTGTGGTGCCAAACACTTGCTGCCCAACTCCCAGCTCTACAGCCAGGAAGACACTTTTTTTTTTTTAAGACTCTAGGGAGAAAATAACATTGCTGTGGGAATTAGCTTCCTCTCCTCTCCTCTCCTCTCCTCTCCTCTCCTCTCCTCTCCTCTCTTTTCCCCACTTCAGAGATTAAATTTGTAGATGATGAAAACAGATGGCAGTCCATTAAAGATGGTGGAGCTATAGTGAGTGACATCAGCTGGTCACCAGTGACATGGGCAAAAAAATCCAAAGCATTGTAATAAAAGGGACTGTTCTCATGGGGTCTTTGTAAAATGGATCATTTCAAAGATATCATTGCCTCTACTGCAGCCCTTGGAAAGCACAGAACAGAGCTGAGCTTGCATGTTCAACATCAGGAAGACACTGATTGAGAGGTAGGTAGTCTATAGGTTACTTTAAATAGCAAATTCCTCCATTGTACGGAATATTTTTTCAACTGTAACTAATAATTTTTCCTCTTTTCTTTTACCTTGGGGAAGAAGCTAGTAAATAGATACACCAACTGGAAATGTTTTCCCTCAGACAGTAGCTTATGTTGCAAACTCCCCACAATGCAGGGAACATATGTTTACAAACAAAGGAGGCTTTGCTGGGTTCGAAGGATGCCTTGGGCCAGCTGCCAGAGGGTTTGCGAGGGAGGCTTTTGGCAGGAGCCCCGAGAACAGCTCTCTCTTGTCCCAGCGGCTGTTCTGTTGTGYACTGAAGTCAAGCTGTGGCCAAACACACAACACCTTTGCCTATGCCAGCTGCTTTTCCCTCACCCTTGTCGTGCTCCACCACTGCCATAAAGCATGCGGTCATATCAGGCAGCATTAGATGCTGTTCATCTCACCAGGATGATTACCCACAAGGAGAGACTGCTTTAAGTCAGTACAAAACTACACTTACTATCTCAGATTTAGACCATGAAAAGTTGGACAGGAAGTCTTCTTTGTTCAGCAGCAATTTACGGTCTATGTT